AAGACAGATTTTGCTAATAAGGACATTGTTGGATGGTCCAGTCTTGTACGTTGGCTTAGGCCCATGGGACTGCAGTTCCCTATTCTTCATAAAAAAGCTGAGTCACCATCTTTTTCTTCTTCAATTTACCTCTGGACTTCGTTGTGATCAAGATATTTTGAATGAAGCCAAAGTGTTGATAAAAAGATAGGCATAAAAGATTAATTTCAGCAAAAATGGGGCCATCAAAGTATTTTCCCGGCTTCCCTTTTTAGATTCTGTAGATAGCAGGAGAACATAGCATAGCACTTAGTAGTAGTACTGTCTTGTAACAAGGGTGAAAATATGTGGTTTAGTTCTTCTGAGACAGTGCATCCTCCCAGATTACAAATGAGCAAAACCCAATGTCTGCCATTTTCTCCCCTAAAGCCAAAGAGCAGATGGAAAGTCTAAGAAACAGTTATAAGGAACTTTAAAGTGAGATATGCTGCTCCGCCAAAGGACTCAAAATTGGATTCATTATTTAGGTGAGTGCTAACTGTCTAGAATGACTGGGTTATTCATGCAGTTAGAAGGCTATTTGTTTAACTGGCCAAGTAATGAATTGCTAGTCAGTTTATTAATTCTATATCTTCATCATACTCGAGTGGACTCTCATTTATATCTCCTTGGGATAAAGAAAAGAGTTCACCTCAAAAAATCTTAAAACTTGGCAAGAGGCATAACTCTCTACACCATTATGACAGTTTCTCAGAACTAGCCCTCATCTTTGCTGAGTTACAGAAGTTTCTTTTGCATCTCTAGTGTAGATGGTCAGATGGGTGTGTAGTATTTTTTTAAAGCAGGTAATCCATAAGGTCTCATCCGATAATTGTTTCTCTAGACATCAATTATTTTTCTAGACTTATATACTTTCTGGAAAACTGATTTCTTCTTGATTCCAGATCAGCATCTCTAGATAGCATGGAACATCTCATGATAAACTTTCACAAGCCAGCAGACTTCCTTAAGCCTTTGACTCTGTGCCATACCTAATTTAGTGGTACTAAGAGCCAATCTGGAGTAGTGGTTAAGGCATCAGAAGACCATCAGTTTTAATCACGCTTTAGATATGAAAGTCAGTCAGGTGACCTTAGGCCACTTGCTCTCCCAGACCTGGAAAGCAGGTAATGGCAAACCACTTCCACAAATCTTGGTAAGAATACTGATTTGTCTAAACAGTCATCAGGAGTTAAAAATTGACTCAAAAGTAGGGGGGGGGGGAGCACTACTCAGGGATTACTCTTCAACTAAGAAAATAATGAAATCCCCCCCCCAAAAAAAACTCTGATTAGTGGCCTGCTCCTTGAGCCTCACAGGTTCTGTAACATCAAAAACCTTCTTCTCCCCACTCAAATAAAACAGTGCCAGATTATAGTGTATGCATTTACAATATAAATACATCCCACTGGTTACTATGAAGGGAAGCTTCCTGACTGCAAAGTTGCTATTACTCTGGTGGTTTTAAAAGCCTACTATAAGGAAGGTAAAGTGACAGTATAGCTTATGTAACCCGATGCTTTTTGCAATAGATGTAACATGGTTGCATGCTGCTGCAATGGCTGGAGCAGTGGAGAAGCATACTAAAGAATGCTAACAGGATGCTGAAGCTTTATGTTGGAGGAAGACAGTAAGACCTCCTACCAGCAAAAAACATCCTATCTTCAGTTGAACTGCAAACATGTGGGGGTGGGTGGGGTGCAGTTTTACTTTACTTTTAAATAAAGTGACATAGAGCCAAAAAGAAATCAGTTTAGCTCAACAAAGCAATTGATTTCTGATATCAGATTGCTGCCGTAATGCCTTGTATAGCATGGCCTTATGTGGCTTTCCAAGTGCGATGAACTAGAAAAAAACTACAAGTATAAAAATAAACCCTTTCCTTTGTAGAGGCAGAGATCAACAATAGGATACACCGATCAATGCCTATGTTCCCCATCCTAGCAAGGAGGAGATGTTATTTTCCTTTAAAGTGCTTTTAAGATTGTTGTGTTGTGCCCTAGTTCTGCAGGCTGAGTCCCTGCTTCTTTGATAATTGCTGTGGTGAGCAGTGAAGCATAAAATAAGATAAACATTCATTGCAGATGGGGAAAGACAATAACACACAAAAAGAAGAGCCCTTTCTGTGGGTCATCATAATTTGTTGGATTCTGGACAAAATGCAATGTGATCTGCATTCTGATTCAATATTTTGCCACCCAGAGAAGAAAATGTGAATTCTAATTTACCTCAGAGTTGGCTAGCAAAATTCTCCCATTTTGCAATGCTGGGCTTCTGAGGTAGAAACTAGGAATTTTCAGGGAGTCATTTGGTGCCCACCACTCTTTCCTTGCCTCACCTTTCTGAAAATGTTTGTTTAATGCTAGCATTAAAAAATATAAACGTGAAGCTGGAACACAACAAATAGTTTTCTATGGAATTATCTTTATTTTCACGCTTCCACATCAGCAGTCTTTGAAAATAAACATGATTGAGAAATACAGCCTAATTTTCTGATTGGAACAATGCCGAAGAGTGAAAAATATTTCCATCAGTTTCCCTCATTCCCTTCCACAAAAATACATGTTGGGTGAATTTTCAGACATACAGATTTTGGCCCACGTTTGTTACATTGAGTTTCAGATTTTTATGATTAGCACAACTTTCATCGTTTTTAACAGATCATAGGCACTAAAATATTTCTCATAACTTTCATTTATGTCTTTAGTATCAGCGTGGTTATCTTGTTGGCACAGTATTATTTATCTGCACATAAGGTTGAGGTTAATAATGGCTGAGGAGCATGTACCTCTAGTTTATTTCTAGTGAAAGCAGAATGTCCTCACTTTAAAATTTATTAGCCCATTTCTGGCTCTACCAGCATCTGTGAAGAGGTTGAAGGCCAATTATAGATCTACTCTATCAATAATTTTAATTGCCCCCAACAAATCACATCAAAGTGACCAATTTTGATGAGGCAACAAATCAGTAATGGATTTCACCTAACCTTCTATAATCGATGTATGAGCCAAAGGTTCTCAAGTTCTAAAAATGATGCACATTCAATATCCAAATTTATGGCTCAAAAGGTTCAGTGTCATCAACTACTAATTAATTATCACATTTACCATATGTCTTTCTTAGCCATAGATCACAGTTTCTGATCTTCAGAAGAACCCAAACTAAAAGAAATTTCAACCATTGCCTTCATAAATTAAGGAAATGGGTTTATTGACCGTACCTTATGTACAAATGATTATACATAGATATGCAGTCATGAAACATAGCTGAAGATATTTAGAAGGGAGGAAGCTAACATTGTTTCCATGTAAGGTAGATAAATTTCTCAATTGTCATCATCTCCCATTTAACTACAGAGGCAACCTTAAGAGATGAAGTGAGCATCATAAATTATACAGAGATTCTGTTTAGATGCAGTGAACTGACCAATTGGAATGGATTGAAAAATAATTACAAATAGAAACTTGATTGACTTCCAGACTTGGACCAATTGGAAGAGAAGCCCTTCACATGCTAAATATCTGCAAATCAGAAAGTTGTGGAAGGCCAGAAGTAGGGATAATAATAATAATAATAAAAAACAATTTAGTAAATTGGTAACTTTACATGGACCTTCTTATTTGCATGAAGATGCTGAAGACAATGTTTCTTATGATTTTGCTCCCTGTTGGAGAATTAGGAATGTGTAAGTTAGAGATATAGTACATATGTGATATGTGCTTAATTCATATTTTCATATAGACAAATTTGTTTTTCCTTTCCAGTTAATACGCAGAATGAAACAGCTACCCTTTGGCATGTAGTTTTCCATATTCTACAATGCAGTTCTGTCCAAAAAAAGGCATAGAAAATGCACATAGCATGATACAGTGCACACAAAAATGAATATCTTTATGAAAGTGCATGGCAAATATACTATAAACAGGTTTTTTTGCTAAAACATTTGCTTATTAGACAAAATTTGTAAAATGCATACATTAGAATACAAAAGTTTCATCATTTTCATGGATTTTTTTTAATCAAAAGGATCAGAAACACAATATAGTATTACATCAGAAAAATTAAAAATTTGAAGAAACCAAAGCATATTAATTTGGTCTCATAGGTGGAACCCTCTGCATGAAAAATGTCTGTGAAGGGAATGCTGATGGGACAGAGTTCCCATCCCAATCAAAAAATGTCAATTAAATGAATGAATGAATGAATGGCAGTCATAAAGTCACCATGCACCTGTACTCATTAAAATCCCTTTTCTCCAAGTAAACTAAGCACATAGTTTACTAAGCATATTGATCAAGGGTTACAAATAATGGAGAATACAGAATAACAGAGTAGGAAGGGAAATTACCACCTGATGTGCAGGTGAGGTTTCTTTTATCCCATTCCTATGACCACCTAACTCAGTCCTTTCTTCTATTTCAGCTCCTCCCCTTAGTCAACCTTGATTTCCAGTTATAATAGCTATTAAACTGGCTGAACATTCTGGCAGTTTAATCCCTAGATATGAGATAACACTTCTGATTATGGAAGGGGGAAGCTAGGGCAAAGAGTATTTACATTGGAAAGAAGAGATTGTGAAAAAAATATGGGAGACTTTGCCACATTGGAAACTCTTTAGGGCAAACATAGACTTGGAAAAGTTCATTATTCTTCAGAAACTTGTTGTTTGGTCTATTATATGTGATAAAAATCAAACCCAGCAACCCATTGTGAAATGCCTTGATTGTCTTTCTTTCAACTTACAACAGTTCATTTAGTTACTGTTCAAAGTTACAACTGCAACTATAAGTCACAAAAAGTGACTTATAATTATTTTTCACACTTAACAACCATTGCAGCATTCCCATGGTCACGTGATCAAAATTCTGACACTTGGCAACTGACTCGTATTTATGACAGTTGCACTGTCCTGATCCCCTTTTGTGACCTTCTGACAAGCAAAGTCAATGGGGAAGCCAGATTCACTTAACAACTGGGTTACTAACTTAATAACAGCAATGATTCACTTAACAACTATGGCAAGAAAAGTCATAAAATGGGGTCAAACTCACTTAACAAATGTTTCACTTAGCAACAGAAATTTTAGGCTCAATTATGGTTGTAAATAGAGGATTATCTGTCCTTACTGACTCGCAGGTAAATGAATATAATATTTAATCTCAAATAAATCTTAAGAGTAAGCTACCTTTTTCTACTGTAGTCTGAAATAGCATCATGCAACCTGGTAACAATAGAAAATTTCCTCCTTGGGCTTCATTATTTAAAGATAGGCTGGAACTAGGGGTGTAAGAGGGAATCCAAATGGGGACCACAATCACACTAATGAAGGCCCACCCCTTTTTACATGCATCCCTTGTGCAACACATGTACAAAGGGGGGCCAGGCTTCAATTATACAATTATGGTCATCATCTTGGTTTTTTTATACCCTCCAGAAACACCTCTGCCAAAAAGTCAAATTACAAGCACTATTACAGCAAGGAACAATGATTTCAATTGTATATACAGTTTCTTGAAAACTGTGAATTGCTTGGGACACACAATATTTCTGAAAACAGATGCAAAGAAACAAAAAGTTCTGTCAATTTGTAGGAGTCCTAAGTGCCATGGGAAAAATTCTGAGGACGTTCATGCTGCATAAGAGCATATTAAATTGTCTTTTTAAAAAATAGAGCAGTTACATAAGAAATAAAGGCAGGCAAATCAGCTCGCTCTGCACAACTCTTGTTCTTCTGGCTGATTGTAGGTTTCATTTCTTATTTTTTGCTTTTGCGTTATAAATCATATGCAAGTTTTTGCATTGCTGTGGCAAAATAAGTGTCCAGGAGTGGGTCATTCTCAAGTTGGTTATTTCTTATATGTTTCCCCCCCCCCACACACACACACTAAGACAATTTTGGCATTTCATTTTACAGCAGTTCCCACTGAAGTCACATTTTGTTTTCTAGTTTTCCAACAACTCAAGGATGTCAACACGGAGCACTGTCAGATGAGGTATATTCAAACTGAAAGACTGTCAGCCTTTCAGTGCCAATCTTTTCTCCAAGAGATGAAGGAGAGAATGTGAAAGAAGTATATCACAAAATTATTTTGCTTCCAATTTGCCACCTTTCCCTCCTCTGGGCTGTCACCAGTGGGAGAGACTGTTCAATCAACTTTAATTTAGAAAGTCCAAACAGATTGGTATGATATTTGTTGAAAAAAGCCCTCACCTGTAGCAGATTTATGTAAACCATTGAGAACAATAGAAAAAAGTAATCCATCAAATTTGTCTAAGACGCATTCATCCTGCTGTCACAGAGTACAAATCTGGCTAATCTAAGAGGTTCCTGGATTAGGGTTTTCACAGAATTGTTAATATTGTATCGAAGAGTGGAGGTAGCACTGGAAAAACAATTAAAGAAAAGATGATTGAGGTTGACCAGCTTCAATGGATGATTTTCATGCTGATCATGCTGCGTATTTAATTCTTGCAAACAGAACACAACACAGTTCAAGGACAGAGTGTATATGCAGCATTCACAAAGTGACAGCTCCATTCTCTGACAATGTCAATGAAAAGGTTTTCATGGAGATCCTGAGCCATGATCATCACTGTGATGATTTTACAGCTGCTCTTGTACTGATGGAAAACAATGATCCAGTGATCGGTTCTTAGAAATTGCTGACATCTGAAGAGAATAAGGAAGACCTCAAAGGGAACTCAGCCTGGATATAAGCAGAAGTCTTCAGAAATATGAAGAGACCCTTCTAGAGTGTCAAAAAGCACTAGAAGTTGGTTTCCTTCTCCGTCATGCCAAGCACTTCCTTAATTGGATGCTGGGATCCCATTTCAGAACTGCCAATTAGATGCTTCTTTGGCTGGGGCAAGTCTTCTGATGGAGCAGTGAGCTGGTATAACCGCTGTAGAAAGACAAGGAGAATGGCAAGCAGTATCTCTGTTAATTAAACAATCAGGCAAATTGGCATCCAAATTAATCTGCCTCAGTTGGGGTGGACAAAGGCAGCCCCAAAGGCCATCCATTAAATTTTCATCAGGCAAGTTTATTGGAATATACATTTAAAACAGCAGATGGGAAATGGCTTAATGCTTTGTGCTTTTTTGCTTTTAGGTTCACTGCTTGTTGAGATATGGCAGCACACAATAAAATACCCAACAACGCTTACAGTAGGGATGATTTAATGGATTGCATACTTATAAAAGTATGGGATTAGGAAGAAAAACACACTCATTTATTGTGGCAATTAGAGATGAGAATTTTGCTTTCATTAAGGCGTTCAGGTTTTTATTTTCCAATCTTAAATTTGTTTTATCCCATTCCTATAAGAATTTGCTTCTTTGTTTTTACCTCATGAGAATATGCATATTGTCACATTCATGCAATTATGGCAAACTAGATATTTTTATATTCAATTTTTAATCAGAAAACTACATTATAAAGCTTGCAATATCATTGGTTTTGGTTCATATATTGGTTTGAGAAGTGTAAATTAGATAAAAGTGGATTTAAATGCACAGCAAACTAGCTATTCTTCCATACCCATGAGGGGAAAGGTTTCATAAGTCAGCATCCTATGTGGATAGTTCTGTCTCTAATAGCTTTGTAATAATGAACAGCTTCTATCTTTTTTCTCCATAATGGTCTAATAAACTAAATACAGTTTCACAACCTGGAGACCCAAGCAGGCCATAGGACTTCATTGGGCCTTCAATTTCACTTAAAAACCCTCTGCAAAAAATGTCAGCTAAGACTCCTGAAAATTGCTATAGATTTATTCCCGGCTAGCCTCAATCTTTCAGAACTTCCTTTATCTGCTTCTCTACCACCTTCACCCAACGTTAGTCATTTGAGAAATACAGTGTTGCATGAAGTTATCATTTTTTTCTGAGAACCATCTGTTCTTTAGGCTCTAATTCAACTGTGGTACTACAAGAACAGAATCTCCTCAAAAGGGTCATTGTGAAAATGGAAGGGGATATACTGTTTCTATCTGGTATAAATAGTAAATAAAATTAATGAAACCATTTTTCAATGAGTTGCTCAACAATCAAGAAGCCTCCACTCAAATTCAGAGGTCCTTGTGCAATTCTGGCTTGCTCATTTAGATTTCTATCCATTTGAGATCAAGCAGAAGAAAAAAATATTGTCCTCTCCTTACTAAAGTTAACTAAGAGGTCTTAATTTTCACAACTCCACATGTCTCTTTACATTTAGATGAAGGCTTTATCATGTGAGAAGTTGCCAAATGGATGTGATTAGACCACCTCTGAGGCAAATTGCGGTACTCCAGGAGTTATATGTACTGAACAGTATGGCTGCTCTCTAGAGTGCTTCAATATCATTTTTGTAAAATCATTATGTTCTCTAGAATGGTTGCACAAATGGAAATATTAGCAGTTATAGTAAATATATTATTTGTTTATGGCACCCAACATGAACCTATAATCAAATCCACTGGAGGTGCCCAGTGTATTTTTTAAGGTATTTGAATAGTAGAATGTTCACAAACTAAATGTTGGTTTAAACACTAAAACTGGGGCTGACTGTGCTTTTCTCTGTGGAAGTAATTTTAAAACTTTCTACTTCTGGTACTATTAATTAACAGATTTTCTCACTATATTGTTCCGTATTTCTACTTTTCTATTAAATGATGTGCAAAATTTACTCTAGGTCAAATGATTTTTTTTGTTTTAATTATTATATAATAACTGATGTTTTTTAACATTAGCTCCAGCTGTTTATGTTAATTATATTCTGTATTATTTGTTTTGGCCTTTGGCAATAACAATAAGCTGAATTGCAAACAGCAATCCCAATGTAAATTATGTTTTGCCCTCACCTTCTTCCTTTAGTGTTGTTACAGTCCATGTTTACTACATCAAGCTCAGTTCAGATTCAAGCCATGCTGTTCCAAATTCAGATTGAAGGGATTCTACCCAAGATTTAATGAAAAGTGGTTTTCCCCATTCCAATCCATAATACACATTTGCAGAACAAAATAGGATAGAGAATGTGTCTCTCTGATAGATAATATAAGATAAACTCCACATGCTGGATTGAGCTTTTTTTTTTTTAAAAAAAAAGTGTGATCAAGAGCACAAGTTTTTTCTAGATTAGACTTCCTCAGTTGGAATATTTTCTAGATGAAGAATTTGAAATACTCATAATTCACTATCCAATGCAACTGTTGCTGAGATTTTGAGAGATGAAGTCCACATGGCCAAAGGATTGCCCAGGTTGGCAGTTAAAAAGTAACTTAAAAGGACTCCAAATACCTCAGAGGAACAAAGACAAGAATATCTGCAATCTATGTAACGTAAACAAACAAATGAAGGTGATTTCAGAGGAAATGGCTAGTAATTACATCCTGGTAACTCTACTATTTCTTTCAAGCTTGGGCTCCAAATGATAGAAATATACAATCTAAGGTTCAAAATGTAGGAACTAAATAGGAGTAACTCTGGTATACGCACAAATGCACACAAATTATTTGTATCAAATAAATGGACAGAAGTGAGATCTAATGCACCTTAGAGTGTGTTCAATCATAGCAACTTTAAGACTTGTAGACGTCAAGTCCTAGAATTCCCCAGCCAGCATGGCTGGCTGCAGAAATCTGGGAGTTGAAGTCCACATGTCTTAAAGTTGTCAAGGCTGGATATCCTCTCTTAGAAGGAAAGATTTGAGTTAAATTGATAAGGGCTGGCTTTCCAATTATTTAACAATAAAAGCAACAACCCAGGTAGCTTTATATAAATCAAACTGCTGAAAAGAAATTGTTTTAAATATCCATAAGTGATATGTGAGCTGTCACTTCAGAACAAATTTGTAATCTACAAATATATGAATTATTCTGGCTGACCTTCAGTTTCTGGAAGAATGTCAAGTAGAACCTTCAAACTCAAAGAAACTAATTCTTGGTTTAAGATGGACTCATACACATATTTAGCATAAATCCCTCTGAATTTTATGGGATTTCAGTTTATGCTATCGCAGCAGGTAACTACATGTTCTACAATTTCTTCAGCTTCTTTGCAAAAATGACATTTGCTGTGTGCTTATCATTATTGGGTTTTTAGTATTTTAATTAAAATTATAAAAGGAAGATTAAAAACCAGCAAGAACTAATACAAAGTAAGAAAAACAAAAAAAAAGAAAGAAAAATAAGAAAGAAGCTAAAAATAGAAAAAGAAAGAATGAAAAGAAATAGAAAAAGGTCTTTTCCAATTTTCTTTAAAGTGGTTATAACTACAAATACAAAATTGCTTCTTACTTTACGGTTACAAAAAAACTACCCTTTTTTTAAAAATCTATCTTTTCTAAATCTTCAAAACCAAACATCATAAGATCATCTTTTTCTGTTTGATGAAAAAGTCTATACTGTAAGAGAAAATCCTGTAAGAGGTTTCCAGTTAGCAGTATATGTAGATATTGTCTTTTTCTCTAATCAAAGAAATCAGTTTAGCCACCTCTGCAAGTTCCATCCTCTTCAACAATTGTTAGTCTTGGTTGCTTTTGATCTTACCATATTTTGCTTCAATCCTTTGCTTTGCTGTCTGGGTCTTTGTCTCATGTTATCCACTTGAGGTGGATGTTAAATCATTGCTGACATATAATGTCATTTGTTATTACATTAGAATCGCTAATCAGTAAATAAAGTCCTGGGGACATGGCATCACCTTTTTAAAGTCTTGGGGATGGTTTATTTCAGAGCTTGTGTGGGATTTCCCAGCCTTTTGAACTGAATTACAATTCAAATTATTTCATTAAGATAAATGAAAGTATTGAGTTCTATTGTTCTTCTATATTGTCATCCCATAATCTACATATATCAGTGAAGAATCATCTATCAACGAGAAGAAATGGCTGGGTTTACACATTGGCTTATTTTAATCATGGTTTGTAGAAACACAAATTCAGGACTTTTTCAGTGGTTAGATAAGCCATAGTAGTTGAACATATAAAATTAAACTTTCATGAACACATTAGTTTATAATGCTAAAACCAAATAACTCACATAATGTCTCAGTGTGATTTGTGAATTCAACCAATGTTTACCTATAGCTATTGCAACATACTGTATTAATCATAGTTATAACCCGAAGCAACTTTTTGAATTTTACAGGGACTTTTTGGTTTGGATCCCATTTGCTCAATGCCCTAGTCTTTTGAGGAACAGCAACAACTATAATTATGATCATCAATTAGACAATATAACAATCTATGGTTGGCAGTGACTTATTCTGATTTGTTATCATTTGCACAGTGTTACGTTTCTAGTTAGAAGACAAAAAAATGCGTAGCTACAAGAAATAAAAAATACATTTTGTCACCTTGAAAAGGGATTGACATATGAAACATTTCTTAAGGGCTTTGGGATTATTTCTCCATTCTGTCTTTGATTATTTGCACATATTTTTCTACTTGATTTGATCAGTATAATGGCAATCATAATTCAAGATGCAGACAAACTAAATATGTTTAAAATACACAAACAGCATTTATGAAGAGGTCTTGGAAGCACTAAGCGTTTAGTCTTCTACAATTATCAGTAACTAAACTTGCTTCTGTTAGTTCTTTCATGTATCAGAAAGCGTCTGACTTTCTTCCATTATGAAAAGGCATCAAACTAGCTTTGATGGTGTGGCTTTACTTTGCTTATGGAAAAAAAAAAACAATTATCCTAGGATACAGAATACACCTTTTTCAGTAATACAAAATTGCCTGAAAGAACCTGTCAGTTATATCCCTTATGAACAAATGGCCAGTCATGTAAAATAACCAAACAAAGTTCTGGAACCTCAGAGAAGTCCTGAACTTATTACCTCTTTGAAAGATCCTTTGGTTTTCAGGAAGCTGATAATAATATAGGATGGTATGCAGATCATAGAGGACAACGCCAACACCCAACCCACTGCAATCCCCCACGGAGGATATTCATAAACATTGTTGTATTTGAGGGGTTGGTATCTAATGAGGGAAAACAGGAAGGTAGCCTGAGGATGACAAGAACAGATAGCATGACAGCTACGCAGTAGTAAATTAGAAACATCTGTAAGAGATAATTAAGTAAAAGAAAAAAAATACATTTAATCAAGGTCTTTCAGTATGTCTTTTTTCAGCCATGGGCGAACAGAGTCTATAGTGAACTCCGATCATGCAAGCAAAAGTTGAGAGGGTTGTTAGGATCTGCAAAGTGCCTGCTGGCTTCAGCTCAGACTTGGCGTTTAGCTTTCCTTTTTTATTTTATTTTTTGCTTTCCTCCCCACCCCCCAAGTATAGGAAATCCTTGACTTACGACCACAATTGAGCCCAACATTTCTGTTGTTCAGTGAGACATTTGTTAAGTGAGCTTTCCCCCATTTTATGACCTTTCTTGCTACAATTGTTAAGTGAATCACTGTAGTTGATACATTACTAACACAGTTGTTAAGTGAATCTGGCTTCCCCATTGACTTTGTTTGTCAAAAGGTCACCAAAAGTGATCACGTGATCCCGGGAACACTGCAACCGTCATAGATATGAACCAGTGGCCAAGCATCTGAATTCTGATCACATGACCATGGGGATGCTACAATGGTTGTAAGTGTCAAAAATGGTCATAAGCCACTTTTTTCAGTGTGTTGTAACTTCAAACAGCCACTAAGTGAATAGCTGTAAATCAAGAACTAGCTCTATCAGCCAATAGAATGTACTGCATTCTCTTCTATGGTACAGCTGAAGTGATGGTATTAATTCAGAGTAGCATGTATGGTATTCTGGACAGCTCAGCGGAACATGTTTATTTTGATTCCACAACATTCTCCATACAAGAGATGGACTGGATTGAGGAAGGGAAGGTTGCTGTATTTTCTCTTCAAAATCCCTGATGGCCTGTCGTTAAGCCTGGCAAGAATTAAAGCTGTATTGTGAAGGAGAAGGAGAATTTTGTATAAATATTTAAGAACAGCTAAAGGTTACAAAGGTCAGAGTTAGAGTGGTAAAAAATTCTGCTCCTGTGTTCCTTCTGTAAATGCTAGATCACTTGTAAGGCTCTCTCAGATTGACCTAAGAATCACAAGAGGTCAAGTTTAAAGCTCTGATATATGTCCATGAGGAATCAAACTGTTGTCAAGAATTAACTCGATGCAATAGGTAGCTTTTCCCCCAAATTAATTTTAGAAAATATATCAACTGGCAAATCCTGGTGCAGGGCTATTTGATACCCAGTCTAGGTCCAGCTTCAAGCTAGTGTTTGAAATGCAGTGAGGACATGGTGTATTGCTCTCAAGGAACTGGATTGAATTACCTCCAATTTTTTGATATCTTTATAGGTACAATTTCCATGCAATTAAGTATTAGCTCAGCATTTTTGCTCTACAGTATAAACTGAGATTGCAGTGGAAGCATAATTATTTCCCTGCTGGCTGGCAAATCTAATTATTACATCAGAATTTTTTTTCTGCATGAGATGAAATATATGTTTTTCTTACCCTTTCCAGGTATGAGAAGATTGAAACACAATTCCTAAGGCATTAAATGTTAAGATGTTTAAAGATCTTAATTTCCTCAATCAAATTGCCAGTAGTTTTCCATTCATGGATGACTTTAATTCTTTGCTTTGTGGATATAATCACTTTTAATTTACCACAATTAATTCCTAATTTTTGTCCCCTGCAATAAGCGTTTGAAGCTTGTAACTCCAATGAAGGCCAACTTCAAAATCTTCAAGAAGTTGATCACATCATCTGTGTAAATAAAAACACTTTTGCTAGCACTAGGAGATGAAATTCACTTTTGCTTAAGGTCTGAGTTAAGGAGTGGATTGAATAAAGATTAACTAAAAAGGGGGCCAGAATACAACCTTGTTTAATTCCTCTTACAGTGAGAATTGGACCTGAAACAACTCTGCTTACTGTACATTCAACATGTAAATAGAGCATCATAATTAATCTAGTAATTCAGAAATCTATAGATGTCTTTAATAATTTCTACCACAATCCTCCCCTGGAGATCAAATTTTCAAATCTATAAAGGCAGCAACAAGAACAAGATCAAGAGTAATATTTTTCTGTTGGATGGTTTACAATACTACAGTATTCAATAGTTGCTTGTTCTCTTTTAGTCAGCCAAAACTTGTTCTTTTTCTAGCCAATCACTGACTTTCCCACATGGATGTTTGGCACCTGGTTTATTAAAACATTTAAGAGACTGATCAGATGAAATTAGCAGGAATAGACTTATTGCCTTTCTTAATGATTGGGACTGCAATAATACCAATATTTAAGCATCTGGATACAGCACTCAATATGTGTGAAGAGAGAAGCCAACACAGACGACTGTCATTCTGCATTAGCTTTTATAAGTTCTGCAAGAATCAGATCTTCTCAACTGCTTTTCCATTTTTTTAGATGGGATATAAATTTGTAAGTTTCCAAGGTTGAAACTGGAGGCCTACCAAGAAGGGACTTTATGCACTCAAAAGACTACTAAAATATTCAACCTATTTAATAGGCAAATAGTTAAACAGAGATATTGGGCTTTAGGCCTGGGCAATGGTTTGGGAAGCTGAACTGGCAATCAACTGTTGGAAGGCAGTTTTTAATTGCTTGTAACAATTTTCTCCACTTTTCCTTTTGTATCCTCATTATCTTCTCTTTGGAGATACACAGAACCTGGTCTTGGGACCATCTATATACCCCCAACTTCTGCTATGTGACGTACATCCTAGAAGCTTGAAGGGTCATTTCCTCAAAGATGAACCTATAATTCACTCAGTTAATCAAACTAGATCATTCTAAACATCCTGCCACTTTTAATGGGTCACAGGTCATGGCGTAGATTTTTTTTTTTTTTGCATTGAATTGCATTTCCTATATTCTGGAACTACAGGATGGGATGGGATGGGATGGGATGGGATGGAATGGAATGGAATAGAATAGAATAGAATAGAATAGAATAGAATAGAATAGAATAGATGGAAGGGACTTTGGAGGTCTTCTAGACCAACCCCCTGCTCAAGCAGGAAACCCTATACCAGTGGTGGTGAACCTTTTAGAGACCAAGTGCCCAAACTGCAACCCAAAACCCACTTATGCATCATCGGGTGTTGGGTGGGTGTGGCCCATTGGGTGGGTGTGGCTGCGGTGGTAACAGCAGACTTTGCAAGATCTTTTTTTTTCCGCGAGAAGTTGAACTTGACTGATTGATTGAACCTTTTTTTTTTGTACACGGCGGAGGAGGCCTAAAGCAAAAAGGTTTTATAAAACCCAGCTGAAGGCTGATGACTGGAGCAACGGCACGCATGCCCACAGAGAGGGCTCTGAGTGCCGCCTCTGGCTCCCGTGCTATAGGTTCACCACCACTGTCCTATACCATTTCAGACAAATGGTTGTCTAGTCTCTTCTTAAAAATTTCTAGTGTTGGAGCATTTACAACTTCTGGAGGCATGTTGTTCCACTGATTAATTGTTCTAACTGTCAGGAAATTTCTTTCTAGTTCTAGGTCAGGGGTCTTCAAACTTGGCTCTTTTATGACTAGTGTTCTTCAACTCCCAGAATTCCTTAGCCAGGCACGCTGGCTGAGGAATTCTGGGAGTTAAAGTCCACAAGTCATAAAAGGGCCAAGTATGAAGACCTCTGTTCTAGGCCTTCTTATTTAAATAAGACCATGTCTTGATGACATTTTATCTAAACCTGCTTCATTTTGTGCTGTGCCATTTATTGATATAACTAACAATAGATGAGTATATTTGTAGTTCAGGGTTAACTGTAGGCTCCTCCGTGCTCACTGAGCTTGGTGATTTTCTTGCAGATGTTTCATTACCAAACTGATGATGTTATCTAGTTTGGTAATGAAATGTCTGCATGAAAAACCACCAAGTGAAAGAGCACCAAGGACCCCCACTGATGTATTTGCAAAGTATATCTGTATCTCTATTTCTCTTCCTGTAGATTCCTACCTTTGGCATCTCATTGTAAAACACTTGAATAGATCATATAAAAATAATTAAACTAAATTAAAAATAGCTAAAAGGAATTACTAAAAAGAATAATGCTAATAGAAAGAAATATACAATTAATAGTAATATTTTTGTAATATCAGGCAAGGGAAGTTAAAGATTTTTTTCTACACCATCACCACCCTTGCCATACATGTGTAAAAGACATAGTCAATGCACTTACCAAACAAATTCCAGGTGTGAGGTAGAGCCAGCAGTATTTAATCAGGGGCCAGGGTTTGTAGCCAATCATATCTTCAATATTGTCATAAAACCGATCAGCTCCTTGACCGTTACAAAAGAGAATTTTATATAAACCTCATGCTGTCAGAAACCAGACAGATAAAGAAAAAAGCCACCCCTCTGGCCTGGAATTCAATTGTATATCTTCTCTAGGAGATCAAAGCAATCTAAAGCTCTCCATAGGAATCTGCTAGCTTAAACCAATTTTCTACAGCCCTTCAAATCATTCAGTATTTCTCAAGATTCTGGATTAGAATTCTTACCATTCTTTTAGAAAGTGTTACCTTCAGGTAAATTGGATTGTGGCTGCCCTAATCTCCAGCTATCATGGGCAATAGAAGACATACCTGTATTATTGGACATTAGGAAAATGTGAGATAGTCTGAATGATTGGAACTGTAGTCTAACATATCAGCAGGCTGAGAAAGGTTGGTCGAAGGGATAAAGGCAATTTTGTCACCTTCATGATTAGAGTTTTAAATCATGTCTCTCAGACCTCTGTACAATTAGAATTAATCCTTTCAAGATGACAGACATACTAAAATCATATTTATAAAACTAAAATGAAAGGCAAATGTTACAGTTTTTATTGAAACATTAGAATAATAACAATGGGAACTTATACCTGTCAACTCGGTAGTAAATGCTTACTAAATTTAAGGAGATTTATGGCCATAAAAAGCCTTTATTACCAAGTCCCAGATAAATTGGACTTTTAACTCTTACAATCTTTTAGCATAAAAGCAGGCAATCCCATTGCACTAGTCAAGAGGCAGAAATGGAAGAATCTGATTTGGCAACAAAATGGTAGCCATTGTATCATCTGACAAATGGTGCCAAAGGAGGCAATTGGATAATTCAAGGAAGAAAAGAGCTTAAGAGGTTTTCTTGTTCCATCTGAACTATTCTAAGCAACATGAAGGACAGTCATGTTAATTTACAATGGCAAAAAAAAAACAACCCAAAAATCTGGTAGGACCTTCTATGAGTAACACATTGTATTAAAAGGCAATAAACTGACATAAGCTGAAGTTCATGAGATGCCTAGAGTAGTTAAATTGATACAAGATTGAAATTGGGGTAGGAGGAGGGACTGGAAAAAATAGGTCAGTTACATAGACCCAGGTTACATGTAAGGCAAATTCTAAGCACCTGATCAGTTAACAATGGGGATGTGGGTTTTGACAAACATGGGTTTGTCAAAAATAGATCATGCCAGACAAATCTTATTGCATTCTTTGACGAAGTGACAAAATTAGTGGATCAGAGGAATGTTGTGGACATAATTTACTTGGACTTCAGTAAGGCATTTGATAAAGTAGATCACAACCTACTACTTGATAAGATAGAAAAATGTGGGGTAGACAGAATCACCACCAAATGGATCCGTAGCTGGCTGACTGGCCGTACTCAGCGAGTGGTCCTCAATGGAACTGCATCTATATGGAGGGAAGTGTGTAGTGGGGTGCCCCAGGGCTCTGTTCTGGGCCCAGTGCTCTTTAACATCTTCATCAACGATTTGGACGGAATAGATGGGGAACTCATCAAATTTGCAGACGACACCAAGCTGGCAGGAATAGCCAACACTCCAGAAGACAGGCTTAAGATACAGAAGGATCTGGACAGACTTGAACACTGGGCACTAACTAACAAAATGAAATTCAATAGTGAAAAAAGCAAGGTTCTACATTTAGGCAAGAAAAACCAAATGCACAAGTACAGCATAGGTGGCACCATGCTCAATAGTAGTAACTGTGAGAGGGACCTCGGAGTCCTAGTAGACAATCATCTAAATATGAGCCAGCAGTGTGCTGCAGCTGCCAAAAAGGCCAACACAGTGCTAGGCTGCATTAACAGAGGGATAGAATCAAGATCACGTGAAGTATTAATACCACTCTTCAATGCCTTGGTAAGGCCACACTTGGAATACTGCATCCAGTTTGGTCACCACGATGTAAAAAAGATGTTGAGACTCTAGAAAGAGTACAGAGAAGAGCAACAAAGATGATTAGGGGACTGGAGGCTAAAACATATAAGGAACGGTTGCTAGAATTGGGTATGTCTAGTTTAATGAAGAGAAGGACAAGGGGGGATATGATAGCAGTATTCCAATATCTCAGGGGCTGCCATAAAGAAGAGGGAATCAAGCTATTTTCCAAAGCACCTGAAGGCAGGACAAGAAGCAACGGGTGGAAACTAATCAAGGAGAGAAGCAACCTAGAACTAAGGAGAAACTTCCTGACAGTGAGAACAATTAATCAGTGGAACAGCTTGCCTCCAGAAGCAGTAAATGCTCCAACACTGGAAGTTTTTAAGAAGAGACTAGACAGCCATTTGTCCAAAATGGTGTAGGGTTTCCTGCCTGAGCAGGGGGTTGGACTAGATGACCTCCAAGGTCCCTTCCAACTTTACTACTACTACTATTATTATTATTATGTAGGAGATGAACCTGAGGGAGACTGAGCCCGAGGGAGGGGTCAAATGTGTCATCAGTCATGAGTCCCTTTGCACCCACCAAGAGATCTAAGAACAGCTCATCATGAATTTCTTATTTACCTCCAAATTGCTTTGATCACTAGTAGTTCAGATTCATGTGGAGAGCTTAAACTTACAATAAATCTTTATATCCATTTGAACTGCCTGGATCTCCTGATTTCCCTAGCGCTTGACAGGTGATGTATTACAAATCTCTGACATATTCTTATAATCTTAGTTATTCCTCTCTTGCTTATTCATCATGCTATCTGAATTGCCCTTCAATTCTGAATTATTTCTGGCCATGTCAAAACAGTCTTTGCCATTTCTTTATATAATACAAAGGCAATACTCCCCCCCCCACTTCTGTAAATAAATTCACTTCACGGAGATGTAATACTTGTGACCCTCCAGCACTGTGTTTCTCAATTTTAGTAATTTTTAGAAGTGTGGACTTCAACTCCCAGAATTCCCCAGACAGCGTTGCTGGCTGGGGAATTCTGGGAATTAAAATCCAAGCATCTTAAAGTTGCTAAAGTTGAGAGACACTGCTCCAGAGCTTCCTGCACTGTAGCTTCCCACATCCATCACTTTCATCTATGCTTTCTAAGTCTTCTACAAGAATCTCAAAGGACCTGATCTATCCCTGATCTTGGCAGCGGAAAGAGAGAGAGAGAGAGAAATATATGTTCCCTTGCTCTTCTATACCCTAATCAACAAAATCACATTGCTGATAAGGGCCAGAAGGGAATCAGTTGTGCCCAGTTGTTAAGCTTGCTTAGCTTCCAAAACAATGCTACTGTTGAGAGTGAATATTCCCTGGTTGCTAAGCAACTGAGTTCCAGGATGTAGGCCCATCCTAGAAGTTATACAATCAGCTCTCCACTAAAGGTAAAATGAATCTGCAAAACTGGAGGGAGTCACAGTAAACAATACCAACATTCCTTCTACTGCTGATGGTTTCCTTCCTTAATTTTCCTTCCCAATAATAAGCAATAGTGAAGTGATGTAGTTTTAGATTCTGGCTTCCAATTTACAACAACTCCCAAAGTGTGTTAGGTTTTGTAAAAAGTAGGATTCCTTCCACCCCTTTCAGTCCTCGCAGGCTGTTCCCTTTGGCAGTTGCAACAACAACAACAACAAGTTGGCTGGAAACTAGAAGATCTTTCAAAGGAATAAATCAGAATGCAGTAAATCCTCACTTTTTAGCAACAACCATCTGCTTGACAGGCAGGAGGGAATTCTGCCAAGCTGTGGGCGGTATTTTCGAGGCTGGCAACAGACAAGCCTAGAAACATGTGTCTTTATTCACGACATTTGCTATTATGCTTCATGGTGTAAACAAAGAGGATCTGGCCTGCCAAATCAGACACCCTGGACATGTGTTTTTCATATCAAAACTGGGTGAGGGTTTCCTGGATGGGAGGATGAGGGAGAACTTAAAGAGTTAAAGAAATCAGGGAATTCTTAATAATATCCAGATGCACTATTTTGATACAAAAATAGCTATGAATGTTTTGTCTTGCAATAATCTAAAACAGCAATCATTATTCCGAGTAAATGAGGAGAAAGTTCTTTTACCCAGTCAGTTACGTTGTAGGAGAAACTAAATCCAATCAACTGACCCATGGTCTCTGGCCTCCTCCTCTAAGTAAAAGAGTGGCTGAGAAAGGCTGAAAAAATTTCCTAGTTGCAAAACTAATTTAACAACCCAGAACGCATCTCTAACAATGATTGACTAAGACCATCCAGTCCCTCTGCCTAATGGGAAAGATTATTCTTTAATTATTTTTTTTAATTTAAAGGTATTCCACCTTTATTATTTTTACAAACAACTCATGATGTGGGGACACCTTCTTCCTCCTATTTTTCCCACCACATCAACCCTGTTTGATGGTTGCAGAAATGGCAAAAATTTCTGCTTATTTGAAGGATCATACACAAGAAAGATATATTATTGTATGGAGAAGATGGATAGATTATATTCAGAAAAAGTATGGGACTACAAAGTTTCATTTATTTTATGAGTAAATTTTATAGCAACTGTTGTAGAGATTTGTTTATATGACTTAATTTAAGGGGAGTTAAAGGTTAAGTATGATGGTTTTTTTTCTTTTCTTTTCCTTTTTTTAAATTATTGTTAACTTTCTTATTAATAACCCTGTACTCTGCTCTGGGAAGTGAGGGGGGGAGGGTTGAGGGTGGGTGGGTGGGTGAGTGGGTGGGTAATGATAATATAGTCATGGTAGTTTATAGAGAGGTGCCACTTGGGCATTTCCCCTATGCTGCGTTCATGTGTTTGAGAGGGATGAGAGGGGAGGTAGGTGCAGGGAGGAAGTAGGATGGTTAGAGGAGAAGGGGAGGGGAGGAGAGAAAGAGGAGGGAAGTAGGGAAGGTACTAGAGAGGGTGGACGCGGTCTGGGGGGAATGGGCAGGTGGTACCAATGGTTAGGAATTTATTTTATCTTGTGAATTGAATTGTATTTTGTATGAATAAATGGAAAATAAAAAAAAATATTAAAAAAAAAGAAAAAAAACCCTGTTTGATGGGCTGGGCTGAAAGAGAGTGACTGGCCGAAGGTCATCCAGCTGGATTTCATGGCTAAGATGGGATGTGAACTTAACAATTTCTTGCTTGCTAGCCTGGTGCCTTAACCACTAGACTAAAGAGACGAGTGATACAATGAAAAATAGTCTCCTTAGGTACTTTCCAGAAATGACAATGGGTAGCATGATTTTACATTACCAGAGACACGGGTAAAAATGTGTTGTATTGGTGGCTAACTGGACTGAACATGAACATGAAGTGGATTATTTGGATCCTTTAAAATTATGTTATAGCGGAGAGACATTTTAGCCCAATTGCAAGAATGTCCTACAGATGAGTTTGTTCTGACCTTGAACAGTACTGTCATCATCTCCCTAGTGGAAAAAGAAACCCTTCAAATTCAAATCTAGCAGCACAACAAAATAAGTGCAGCCCATTCAGTTAGAAAAAAATAAAAACAGGAAATGAGGATTTCATCCTAATTTTAAATGTTACGAAGCATTTAAGAGCCTGCAGATAGCATCTGTTTAAAAACATTATATAAGAAGTGCTCTGGATCAAATCAAGGTTCAGCACTTGATTCCCACAATAGCTACCAGATGCTAAGGGAAACCTTCAGAAAGGAGTTGGATTCAGTAATTTCTCTTGCTTTCTTCCTAAGCAACTGGGATTCAGCATCAGTTCCCTCTAATGTTTCAGAAATGCAGAATCATCAGGACGAAAAATCTTGGCAGCTTGAGCCAGCAACAAATGGGGGAAAATGTGTGCTGCTTGTCTTTTGTTTATCCTGCTCTAAAAGGAGATATTTCTAAGGCTTAAGTTCAATACTTTCACTATTCAATTTTTGCATTGTTTTCCTTGATATTGTGTAATTATAAGTCATGTTGTGGTGGCTGTATCTAAAAGAGGGGGGGAAACCCCAGTATTTAATTTAGGGATTAAAATACACGTCCTTGAACTGTATATATAGCCAGTTCAATCTAGTGGTTAAGGCACCAGGCTAGAAACTGGGAGACTGTGAATTCTAGTACCACCTTAAGCATGAAAGCTGGCTGGGTGATTTTTGGGCCAGTCACTCTCTCTCAGCCAAATCCAGCTCACAAGTTGTTGTGGGGAAAGAGGAGAAGGAAGGGGTAGTATGTTGCTGTTGGGACAACAACAACAACAACAATAATAATAATGTAGCCCACCAGATTCCATGTTGGGACTCTTGAGTAGATGGGGGCAAAAATCTGACTCCCCCCTCTTTTATTTTATTTTTTCTTTTCCTTTCTTTTTTGGGGGGGCAGGAGTGAGTAGTTTAGAGTTTGGAATAGTTTGGTCCAAACGTCTGCCTTAACCTTTGCTGTTGTTTAAAATGTGATGAAAAATTTTGTATCACAAGCTGACAGGAACTGTGTTCGTCTAATATAGTGATGGTAAACCTTTTAGACACTGAGTGCCCAAAAAACACCCCGCCCTCACTCGCCCCCTGCCCCGCCCACCTGCAGGGCCAGCTGCTTCCATGGCCCACCACAAATCGCCCAGGTGGCCCTGCAGCACCATGGCAGCTAAGTCCTCTGCCCGCACCCCGCAGCATCATGTGTGACGGGGTGCGAGGGCGGAGTCTTGTCCCTGCTGCCCGTCTGCCATGTCCTTGGCTGTGCTGCTCCGTGTGGGCCACGCCTGGGGGCTACTCTCCTCTGGGGGGGCTGCTGGTGAGGAGGGGGCCACAGGGGAAGGTGGGGCTGGGGCAATGGTGCGCGTGCCCACAGAGAGGGCTCTGAGTGCCACCTCTGGCACCTGTGCCATAGGTTCGCCACTACTGGTCTAATATATGAATTGAAGAATGAGTGCACCAGAAGACTCATCCAACTAAAAGAATTGGAATAGGCACAGCTAGATGGGAAGTAAAAAGGCTGATCAAAAGAGAGAAAAAATAACATCTGCTTGGACCTGCTGCCTTGCAGGTATGTTGGAATACAATTCTCAGAATTCCCAGGCCTGCAATTGAGCAATGCAGTCTTGACACACATCTAGAGAGCTGTTCTAGTGTGTCAAATGTGTCTTCATTCTTAAAGGGAGCCCTGTGCATCAAACGTTGCCTTCATGTAATTGAATGCCTTACGTACCGTAAACCCAAGCAATGCAGATGACTTCAAAGATGGCAAGAAAGAGAAGGCACGTGCCGCTGGCTGCATAATAATCAAACAGCTGGAAGATGTACATCCCACCCTACAAGAACCACAAAGCAAAAGGGTCAGAACCCAAAGCAACAAACATGCAGGTAGTCCTTGTCTTAAAACCATTCATTTAATGACCATTTTAAGTTATGGCAGCAGTGGGAAAAAAAGTTTTTCCACTGACAATCACTGCAGTATCCCCATGGTCACATGATCAAAATTGGATGCTTGGCCATGAGCTCATATTTATGACGGTTCAGTGTCCTGGGATCATGTAATCCCCTTTTGTGACCTTCTGACAAGCAAAATGAAGTGGGAAGCCAGATTCACTTAACAACCATGTTACTAACTTAACAACTGCACTGATACACCGAACAACTGTGCCAAGAAAAATTGTAAAATGCAGCAAAATTCACTTAACACTTAACTGTCTTGCTTAACAATGGAAATTTTGGGCTCACCTGTGCTTGTACATCCAGGACTACCTGCACATATTATTTCTCATTCTGTGCTATATAAATCAAAGAATGAGTAAAAGAATTTCTTGCTTTAGCTTTAAAACAAAAAGCTAACGCCAAAATCTGAACCTATTAACTTCTTTGGAGGAAAAAAAACCCTATTGCCTGAGGCATGTTTTCATAAATTTGCAGTCTAGTTACTCGTCTGGCATCTACTCCTCTTCTCCCAATCAGTAAAAAACTGCAAGCATTTTATAAATGGCCTTTATCCTACATCCAGTCTTATAGGATAAAAGGTTTGTGGTCACCATTCTGATTTCTCTCCAGTTGGAATTTGAGTTGAGACACAAGCAACAAGAAAAGAAAGCATTATCTCTAGAAGTGCAATTGGCATACTGCATGTTGAGGAAAACCAGCTGCCAAACCTCATCCAGACCTCAGAGATACCGATGATTGAGCAAGTGAGGAAACCATGAATTAGCTGTCCAGGAAAAAAAAGAGGGATGTGATAACTTTTGATTTAAGGAGACAAAATCCCAGTAGAAATCTGAACTGGTTCAAGATTAATTTTCAAATGCAGTCTTTGAAAACCTGTCATTCCCATCCCTTTCAAGCTCTTGAGGGACATCAGGTCCTACTCTCAGATCAGAGGGTTGAATTGTAACCAATGACAGCAAGCAGTCAAAGGCCTCCTGGAGCTGTCCAAGGTTCAAGAGTTGTCTCAATCTTTCTCACAACTCTCCACTCCTGCTTTTTCCATGCAACTTTGCTTTCTCCTGTGATGCTCCTCCTTGGTGTCATACAAATTCAGTAAGCATTCTTAGTATTTCTGAATTGGTTGATGCAGTTAAATGATAGAGAGCTGAAGATAATTATTTACTTATTCAATTATTACTTATTGCTTCTTTAGGTTTCTATTGCTTCTTTAGCATATTCTATTAGCATCCATCTACATACTTAAAATCTATGTGGTAATCTTCCTCTCCTCTCCTCTCCTCTCCCATTTGTCTTCTTCTTCTGATAACATGGCTTCATGTCATCCTCCTTTAAGTAAGAAGCTCTTTCTCCTACTTACCCCAGAATAAGAGTAAGAAATAAGGATAAAAATCTCATATCATTGTAGTTGTCTCCCTACCCATATTACTCCTTCATTAAAATATTTTTTCATGTCCTGGATAACGAATCTCATTACCTGCAGTAGGCTCTTCTATATTTGGTTATGATCAATTGATCATTAAAGTTCCATTTTCAAGTTTCAATTAAAAAATAATACCAAAATGACTATACTGATTATAGACCTTCCGCAACTTAAGCCCACTATGCTGTCTGCAATAAGTATCTATGAAGGAAGCAAAATAGCACACTTGTTATTTTGAGTAGCAATCACAAAGGAAATAGCCATGTGGTCTGGTCATGGCTTTAAAAAAATGGAGAAACAAAAATGCCATATATTTTTTTTAAAAAAAATCCTGTTCAAGTGTTGACCAAGTTCAAATTGTAATTGTGCACATGTGATATTTCCATAGACTGTATGCATATCTATTAGCAAGGGTATATCCTTCCTTCCTTCCTTCCTTCCTTCCTTCCTTCCTTCCTTCCTTCCTTCCTATTTATTTATTTATCTTTTTTATCAATCAAATTTTGAAACAGTTCATCTCCTTCATAGAAGGACAGAATGGATTTAATCTGTTTCCAGAAATTTCACAGATGATATTATGTGTGACCTTGTAGACATCGGATTACAGAAATAAGTATCCCTAAATATTGGGATGATAATTATAACTCAAGGACATTCTAAAAGCAAGCACAAAACAGGATTGTGATTTCTTGGAATAGGTGCCAGAAAATAGGAATGAATACTGGAGGAAGAGAAGAGAATGTATGTAAATTGAATGCATTTTATGATCTGATGATCATTTGGGTAACTTAATCATGTGGGCTGAAATGTTGGAGGATAGTTGCTAATATTACAGTAGTAACATATATTTTGCAGTTGTATTTCTTCCTCCCACTGACCTCCTCTTCTCACCTCCGTGACCAGCAGCAAGCCAATAAGATAGCAAATCACAGCAATCCCCAGGATCAGCAGCTCTCTACGTCCTTTCTTACGGAAGACCTCCGGGAACAAGTCAACAATGGCAGTCACTAAGCTCTCGACACAGACAAACTGGGGAAGAGAGAATGTCAGAAGACCAAATTCCAAATTTTCCCTTTGTTGGCTCTTAATCTCTTTAGCTTTCTTCCTCTCTCTTTTCTTTCTTTGCTAGTTAAGAGCTTCCTGTAGCAATTTTAGCACATATGTATTCCTAGATTAGGTTGTGATATATTGCTACAAGTCAGAGATTTTCCCATCATTTTCAATATACCCCAGATGGGATTTAAGAATTCTTTCTACACACACACAAGAAATCATAAGTTTTGTCTATGGAGGGCCTCTAATTCTTGGGATTTTTCTGTCAAAATCTGTTAAAATCCAGAGTCTGCTGGACAACCCAAGAGCTTCAAGAACAGCATTTAGCTAATAGGATCAGTATAATAAACCATCCACTGATGGTCAGTATAATAAACCATCCACTGACATTATATGCCTGGTGGCCATGTGTATCATAAATGAACATATGAGTAAATCCTTTGCCAACTTCTTATTTCTTTCTTTCTTAAAAGCTACTTGAGAAAAAGCAGTTCAATTTGAAAAGGTGAAAGAATCCATCACAAGAGAGCTTACATCTGCATTTGTGCTACAAAGAATCTGTGCATCTTTGTTGCATCAGATCAAAGTTCTGTTCTCCAAATTTATATAAACAATTAATGCTGAGCATCATTTACTCATGGGGCTCCTTTCTTTCCAAAGAAGAAAACTGTATTTCTTCTGCAAGATGTATTACATACAAAGATATAAAAATATTCTACATTCTAAGAATACATTAGAGGGTCTTATTTTTTTTTTTATTAAAAAAATCATACTTGACTATCCAGCCCCAAGAAGATCAACATAAGGAAGAACAAACAGGCCCACAGCTGAGATACAGGCATCATGGTTACTGCTTTGGGATAGGCAATAAATGCTAGGCCAGGACCTGTCAATCAAAGAAAAAGAAACAAAGCAATGTTCTATTAGCTTAAGCTAAAGAACCAGCATCCTTTCAACAGTTATTAGATCACAGTTCCTGTTAAAACTTTATCCCAGTGGATATGATGATTGGAGTTGAATGGGAATTCATGCAAAGAACACCGGTTTTCAGCTTCTGCCTTATCAAACATGCTTACTGGATTAAGATAGACAAATACACAGTTATCAGGGACTACCTGTGTTTCTCAATCTAGTGCCTCCCAGGTATGGGAGACAAAATCAGATGAATGTGGAGAACATCAACAAAATCAGACATACGTGAGTTTCTCTACCCATCTTGTAGAGAAATTATATGGAAGGCCTCCTCCAAGTTAGCATATGTGACAACTCACAGAATTCCAGCCAGCATGACCAAAACAGAAAATTAGATTGGGAAAGAGAGTCTTATGCTTATGTCATGGCTCCTATTCCTAAAGTATAGAATTTATATTTAGGTATCTCCTTCTGCAGCCATCAGATCCTTACCTGATTCAGCTACTTTTGAAATGGGGACATTTTGTTCCTGTGCCATGAAGCCCAACACAGAGAAGATGGCGAAACCCGCCACAAAGCTTGTGGCACTGTTCAAGAAACAGAGCATGAAGGAATCTCTGTTGAAAATTCCAGAGAGAGAGAAATTGAATCAGATAAAGCAACAGTCACATAATCAGTATGAAACAGAATCTGCCTTTGAGGAATAGCTCACAATCTGTGTTCTCACCATAGAACACAATCAGGTTTTCTGGGCATCCAGGAAAATGGAAGTGCTGGATTGGTTGTCATAGTAACCCAACATTAGGCCCTTTCCCTCCTACTGTATGTCTTCTGGACTGCACTGCTGATCATAACAGGTAATCCTTGACTTATGACCATTTGTTTAATAGTTCAATATGTTCAATATTATAACAGTGCTAAAAAAAAGTCCAGTCCTTGAACTTACAGTGTTGTACTGTTGTACCACACCCACGTTCCCATGATTACAATTCAGGCACTTGGCAACAGTGTGTGTTTATAACCAATTGTGGTGTCCTGTGGTGACCACAATTTGAGACTTTTTTTTTTTTTTTTGCTGTCTCTGGAAAAAAGCTGCCCATTTGCAAGAATAGGTTGGTATTTATCATCATGGTGTTTGTCTAAGATTCCTTTGGAAAAGTTTACACATCCATACCATACAGCATATCATAGAAGCATAGAATGAGAGTTGGAGGAGATTTTAGAAGTCATCTAGTCATGAAAGGCTTTGTCAAGAGCTTTGCTGAACTTTAAATAGACCATATCTATGGCATTCCCATGATCTACTAAGATAGTAACTTAGGAATTGTTGGTAGTCAGCTTGTATACTATACACTTAGTATGTCGATGAAGATTCTCAGTCATTCAGGTAAAGTTGTCTGGAAGTTGAGTCATGGCAACTGGACTATACATTTAGTAAACTGTTATTTAATTTCATTATGTGAGGTTAATTTACAGTTAGAGTTAAAGACTGGTAGAAACTTAATAATTCAAGTTTTAACTAAGAATTACTAAAATGGCATTTTTATTATTATGGTTGGTCATGCAGTCAACCAGATGTTTAGACTGGATTTGGCATTTTTACCTACCTATCAAGTCCTTCCCAAGGACCTGGGATAGGCAGATGTTGTCATGTGATGGGGTTAAAGATATTGCTAGAATATGTAAGCTGTTTCAAGTAAAGTTGCCTTTTGCAATCAACTGATCATGAATTTGTCAATACTGATGGTGTTCAAGAGGTACTCCAATTATTTTGGGATTATACCCAAGGCATCTATTACTATTGGCACTATCTTTGCTTTCTTTTATCACAGCTGTTTTACTTCTACTTGAATGTTTATTTGTTCACCCTTAATTATTGTTAAAGTTTTGCTTTATTCCCTTTATTGTTTTGGAACGCATTTCCAATTAGATTAGACAGTTTAAGCTATGTTTGTGTTTGTATGTAAGCATGTGAGAGGCAGAGAGATAGAGAGAATCCATAGACACACAAATACATATATGTTCTTAAAGTATATTTTCTTACAAATATTGATAATTGAACCAGAAGAAATACATACATGCAAAGAAAACAAAGCAAACATAAAATTATGTCTTACTAGAATATACATTACAGAATGTATAAAATATACAGGTAGTCCTAGATTTACAATAGTTCATTTAGTGATTGTTCAAAGTTATAACAGCTCTGAAAAACGTGACTTATGACTGTTTTTCACAGTTACGACCTTTGCACCTTCCCCATGGTCACGTGATTAAAATTCAGATGCTTAGCAACTGGTTCATATTTATGACCATTATTGTGTCTCAGGGTCATGTGATCACCTTTTGTGACCTTCTGAGAACCAAAGTCAATGGGGAAGCCAGATTCACTTAACGACCGTGTTACTAATTTAAAAAGTGCAGTGATTCACTGAACAACTGTGTCAAGAAAGGTTGTAAAATGGGGCAAAACTCATTTAACAAATGTCTCACTTAACAGTAGAAATTTTGGGCTCAATTGTGGCCTTAAATTGAGGATTACCTGTATTAAGAGATATTACAGTGATAGATTAGATATCTGTGTGTGTGTGTGTGTGTCTATATCTATATTTACAGAAATGAGTGAATGGTTGTTACATGATGTAGGTAGCAAGATAGAGGACTGAACTGCAATGATGTGAACTATTCCAGAAGATCCTGCATTCCAGAAGAACTGTCAGACCACAGAGAAATATATATTAAAGAATTCAGTGGATTACAAACACAGATAGGAAACACGCAATGACTGATACTACAAAACACTAAAAGTCTGCAGAAATTAAAAGTGATGTTTTACTTCTACCTGTAACAATTGTTGTTATATTTGTTGTAGCTGCCAAGTGCTGTCAAGCATCCCTGACAAATGGCATATGAAAAGAAGATCTGTGTGCCTGCATCCATCCATACCTGAAACAAGAAAAGGACAATAATTCTACAGTCAGGAAGTAGATCATCAAGAAGAACGTGTTAACAGCCGATGCCATCCCTAGAAAACAATTAGGGAAGAAGTAGAAGTTGTAAAAGATTTCCTTGGTTCAAAAATTCACAGAGATGGTAGCGGTATCCACGAAATAGAGAAGAATTTCCTACATATGAGAAAGATTGTGATAGATCTATTTAGATATTAAAGTATAGATGCATCACACTGAAAAAAAATGCATGTGCTTTTCTAGTTGCAACACATGGCTGAGAAAGTGGAACCAGCAGAAAGACTTAATGAAGGAAAAAAGGATGCCTTTGAATTCTGCTGCTAGAAAATTTGTTGAGAATACTTTGGACTGTCTTTGAAGAGGAACAAATAATTCAGTATAGTTCAATACAGAACAGTATTACTGTTCACTAGAAGCATCAATATTGAAGCTAAAGCTCAAATATTTTGCATATGTAATGCAAAGGCAAGAGTAGCTACTGTAGAGAAGATCCCAAGGCTTGGAAAAAATTAAAGTCAATGGGAAAAGAAGTCAACAGAAGATAAGGGGGTTGCTATAATCACTGATGACACAAACAGGAGCTTACAAGAACTTAAAGAAGCAGTTACATTGGACCATAAAAAGGTGGAAGTGATGGAACAATTGATCAAAGCACAAGGAAGCATCACTGAAAAATTCACAAAACATACATGTATAAATCAAAATCTAAAACCTTTTACTTTCATAATTGAAGTAGTCATTGCCTATTTGTCTAAAAATTATAGGAGCTGAAGTCCAACACATGCCATGTGGAAAATAATTGAGTTGCAGAAGAAACAAACTGCATTCTCATGAACACACACATTCTTGGAATACTCGACAGAGACTCTAAATAGTCTGAAAGTAGAATATCTAAAAGACTACCTCTCAAGTGTAAACTTGTCTGTGTACTCAATCAACATTAAATTTTCTAGACTTAGCTATGTCATTCCAGTGTCAGAAGTCCAGCAAGTGAATGTGTGAGATGATAAAATACAAAAATAAAACCAGCAAAAATAGTACTTTTGTGTTTTTTTAACATTTACAACTTAATTTTGTAAACTGCTTTGTTATATCTCTAAGAGTTAAATATAAATTTAACAAATAATAATAGTAATAGTAATAATAGTAATAATAATAATAATATTTGGCAGACTGGTGCCCTACCCAAAAATCTTGGACGGCACTTAGAAAATCTGCTCATTGACAAAATTTCCTTCTGGCCATTGCAAAAGGTCACACCACACATACACTTGCCAATACATCACAACATCCAAGGTTCTTGGGAAAAACTCAACGCATATGAAGGCCAACACCAGTGATGATTTCACATTGTTGGTGTATTTAATAATAACAAACAACCATTTATATGTTTGAGGACTACTTAATTTGAATGTGTGCATCAGTTTTGGTTGGTTGGTTGAGGGGTTTTTTTTTACTTCTAGCTTGATCTGGATTTATAAGGTATTTTATTGTTATTTTATTTGTTTTAATATTTATTTATTTATTAAATTTATATGCTGCCCATCTCTCCGATAGGTTGACTCCAGGGAGATGGGTGGCATCTTTTGTTTGTGGTTAATTCTCTTTTGGAGTGGCTCAAAAAAGTCACTCCACACTGACTGTGTGACTCAAAAAGAAAGTAAAAGTATTCCAATAATAAGGGATAAAAACCTGATCAGCTGAACCTTCCCCATTTCAAAATTAGCAGTGAAACCCAAATTGCATCCAATTCAAAGTAAATCATAGTAAAATAAATTTAAAGGCACACCCTAAGAAATCTTTTTGCTGGGTTTCTCTTGCTAGGAACACCAGTCTCTTGGGGGAAATTTGGATATTAGACATGAGAAACCTGACCCAGTAAATTGGAAGAGACATTATCTTTCTCTTGCCTAATCATTTTCACTTAGGACTTGGCAAAACCATCTGTCAGATGCTGAATATTTAATAGAAGAGTCTGCAGTGCTGTGCCTTAAATGGCAGTAACCGAGTATGTCCATATCTGTGTACATCTTTCAGTGAAGCTGGGGCTGCTTTTTAGGAAAGGCCCTTTGCCTTTACAATGGCGTGCTTGGACCTGTCTTTCAAACATTAGATTTCCCCTAAATGACTAAAATAACTTTGTCTAGGATCTAACAGCACACAGCACAGATGAATAATGAAAAGCACAGTAGTCCAACATGACATGTACATACAGGTTGGAGAGGGCCTCTGAAACACAGCACTTGGGAACACGGTTCCTGCTAGCTGGGTTTGCTACAAATTAGAATTCAGCCATACCTTCAGGACCACAAGTTCTCTGCCTCTAGTATTAAGCCCTGTTCAGAGATTCCTATCTCCATCCCTCACTCCTTATTGTACAATGTCTCTGAAGGATTCTCCAGGCCAGCTCTCTTCTGTATTATATGAGCTGTTAGGTGGGCAAATACAGTGGTGGCTTTGAAATATCTTTTCTGGGACGATGTACCTAGTAACCTCATTTATTTGTTTGAATTTTTTCATTAGACTTCCATGGTACACTGTGACTATTGGATGGTTTCGAAGATTACAAAACATATTGAAGAATTGCTAGGGCCCAAGCTGAATGCTTCCAAGTTATTCAGAGTGCTGCCATGGGACAGCTCTTAATGTATGTGTTGCAATTTTCCCCACCATAGCAATTTCCAGATGCATCAGACCATGACGCTCATCATCCCCAGCTACACATCACAACAGTGGCTAGGGACAACAGGTGTTTAAGCCAATGCACCTGGAGAGGACCCAAAAGGGAAAGTGATAGATGGTATTTTATGCTTTCATGTGCATTTTGTTTGACTGGATTTATTAGGTCACGCTTAAGATGTTATATTACTGACAATCCCTCAGGTAAGCAGTTAAGAGTAAGCATGTCAAATAAATCTTTCAAAGATTTCTTTTCAAGCAAATGGTGCAATCATCCAGAAAGGAATTTGTTGCAACAGGAATGAGCAAGCAATCATCCACAGGGTCTGCTAGAATTCTCTTGAAAGATTCTTCTCCTTAAACATCACATTTAAAAAATGAATGCTTGGGAAAATTGTACGCAAAACCTGAATATCTTAGGGAAAGATGTATATACGATAGGCCCAAAATAGGTTGCCTGCGCAACATATGGCAGGCAAAATCAATACAAATTATCCTGTGTGAATGTTTGCATAAATTTGTAGATAATGCAAAATTTTAAGAGAAAGGAGCAACACCAAATAAATGACAACAACTAAGTGTAGACCAGTCCATGCTCCCTATATTAGTTAGGAAGGAATTTTGATCTTATGAAATTCATCTGCCCCTATTTTCATAGAATTCTGAGGACATCAAAAATCATTCTGACCTGGCCAATAAAAGGTCATCATTTCTTTAAAGCAGCCACATCTTTTTCCAGGTCTTTGTCAAGCCTGAAAAATGCCTCTGCTTTAAAAGTCACTTAGTTTTAATGACATGACTTAGCAAAGCTTCAATAGCACTTTCAGGTTTGTGCAGGAATATTGTTGTCCCTGAAAAATTGGAAGCACATCTGTCAAATCCATTTGAAATGTGCATGATCTGCCTATTGAAACGCAATAGAAGTGACAACTCACCTGAGGATCAGCCAACCTGGAAAGATCTGGGTTTAAGTAGAATATAATTCCATCTAAGGCCCCAGGGAGAGTGACTCCTCGAATTAGCAGCACAATCAACATTAGGTAAGGGAAAGTGGCAGTGAAGTAGACTACCTGTGAATAAAGCAGAAGAAGCCTCAAAAAAACTAGTAAATAGGTTATTTACAGGGTTATTAACAGACACCGGAAGAGAATAGAGGCAGGCAATCTCTGGCCATAAGTCTGCATGAAGACTTTCAACCAATTGTTACAGCCCCACTGACCACAACTTCAGAAAAACAAAAAAACCTCTGACTCCTTGAAATGGGGGAAAATCCTAGCCTCATGTAATGCATATGATTTGGCTTCAGTTATTTTGCACCCTTAGCAAGTTAATACTAAAAGGCAGACACTTTTCACCACTTTGATATCTTCATTGTCAATTCTCTAGGCTGGTTGTTTTATCTGTTGTCAATAGTTTGGTCTCCTTTGTATTGAATTTTAGTCCCATTTTTCATTGTGCTGCTTTACTTTTATTACTAGAGTTTGCAGGATATTTGCATTTCTGGCTATCAAAGCAATGTCATTAGCACAGAGTAGGCCATATTATTGATGTTTCTTCCCCCAATTTTAAACCCATGTTCATCTTTTTACAAGCCCACTTCTCTTAATAAATATTCAGAATATAGGTTGAATAATTAAGGGGGAAAATATGCAGCCTGGTCTCACACCTTTGGTAACTTGGAATCATATTTCACCATGTTCTGTCCATACAGTGTCTTGTATATAAGTTTCCCATGAGGACAATGAGATGTTCTGATTTTTTAAAGCACATTTGACAACTCAGTGTGATCCACACAATCAATGCTCTTTTTATAATCAATGAAGCACATAATGACTTTCTTTGGGTATTCTTTGGCTTTCTCAATTACCCAGTTGCATCAGAAATAACTTGGCATATTAGGCAGCCTTTTCTAAAGCCACTTTGAACATCTGTGTTTCTCTTTTTCCATGTAAGGCTTGAATCTGTTTTGGATTATCCTACTATTTTCTAATATGTGAAATTAAGAATATTGCTAACACTCTGTTAAGTCTCCCTTTTTTGATATTGCAATGTAGCGTGACCTCTTTCAATCTGTTAGCCAATATGTCACCTTCCAAATTTATTGGCATAACTTTTTAGAACATTTACTATTCCTTCTTCTATTGCTTGCCATGTTTCTGTGGGCAGAATGGGAAAACTTGCTGCGGACAATTTGCTGTGGCCAACTCACCACAGGACAACACAGCACAGCCAACTTGTTGCAGGACAACTTCCCACAGGACAATTGGACAATTCAATTAAATTATTTCAAATAAATAAAAAAACATTTTAATTTTTGCAGTTCAAATTTCATTTTGTCCTTCCTTTTGCATCCTTTCTTTAATGATTCTAGTACAGTGGTTCTCAATCTTTTTAATGCTGCGACCCCCAACCGGTCGTAAGTTGAGGACTACTCAACCAGTCGTAAGTCGAGGACTACTCAACTGGTGCAGCACCATTTGCAGAATGGGACTTTTGGCGGGCTCAGCAGGGCAGAGACAGCCTGGACAATTCCTATTGGCTTTTGAAAGCCAATAGAATTAGACTCTATTCAAGAGAGTCTATTCTATTGGCTTTCAAAAGCCAATAGAATAAAAGGGAGTAGCACAGCTAAGGAAAAGGGGGAAAAAATGGTGGACTGCGTTGTTTGGCGACCCCCGTGAAATGGTCGTTCGACCCCAAATGGGGTCCCGACCCACAGGTTGAGAACCACTGTTCTAGTACTATTTCTTTGTTATTAGTGTAATGCTTGTCCTGCAGTGAGTTGTCCCACAATGAGTTGACCATGGATAATTGTCCCATAGCGAGTTGGCCGCAGCAAGTTGGTTGTGGTGCGTTGGTCATGGCGAGTTGGCCGTGGTGATTTGGCAGTGGTGAGTTGGCTGTGGCGAGTTGGCAGTGGTGAGTTGGCCGTGTCAAGTTGACTGTGGTGAGCTGGCTGTGGTGAGTTGGCTATGGTGAGTTGGCCATGGCAAATTGTCATAGACTGTTCTGTGGGTATTCCATCCTGTAACCTTTTGACTTGATAATAACCATAATGAATTGAACTAATTGAACCTTATATTTTCTTTGTCCTTCCAAAAGAAATAGCACTACCTATTTTAAATTATGGTAGTGCAGGCAGCTTGTGTTTCCTGGCCTACAAGAAGAGCATGATGGAACTGACAGAATTGCGAAATGTCCAATGTTATAACAGCAGTACATGATGCAAGTACATTTTGAAATCCATGCACTAGTCTCTGTGTTGTCCCAGAATCAATAAAAGTATGTTCTTTTCCCTGAACAGTATTCATTTGCATTCTGAATTTTCTTAATTCAATGTAACTTTAATGCAATGCTAATTTAATCATACTGATGCTTTCTATTACCACTGCATCCTATAATGTAAGTAGCCAAGCGGGAATATACTTATATTCCACATTATGTGTTTTGGCTTTCAATTAAGGAATATCAGTTAAAATCTTGAATTTGCCTTGTCTGACCTATATTTCTCATTTCTATCCTGGCAAATACCAAAACGTCTGACAAAAATGTTAAATGAAATTGAATACTAACAATTTAAAAACACAGATTAATATGAATAATAATATAATGATTAACAGTTGGTAAAGAGCTATGTCTTTACAGGTCTTTTCAAAATGTGGAGACCAAATGCAACTTCCAAGAAACTGATATCATAAACCTGGGGGCAAATGCAAGAGAAGACTAATATATCTCCTGCTTGCCGAATGATGGGCCTCTAGCAATGATGGGAATATTCTCAGAAAGGACTCTTTTAATAATCAGACACTTTCTTAACTGCAACTGTGCTCCTAACTGTTCATAGCTTTAAAAATTAATGCCAACTTTAATTGTGCCTAGTAGGAATTGGCAACCAATGCCATTAGGGATTGGTTAGCAGTGTAGCTGTGCATTTTATAGCAGCTGCAACGTCCACATACTTTTCAAGGATGGACCCATTTAGTCAACATGCAGTAGTCAGGTTGGGATGCAACCAAAGCACAAACAAAACCAACATTCAGATCCACTATTCATCTACAACACCTCTATTTTATCCAGATGTAACATCAGATTGTTTTCCTCATCTAATCTATTATCAACTTAGGCAACATTCAAAAGTATGAATGCTTCACTGAAATTGAGTGGAATGATGTAATATTCCAGGAGACCTCCTCCAGCAGTTCCATAGAACATCAGAGTCAAAATAGTCTAAAGATTAAACAATAGTTTTCCAACACTGCCTCTAAAAAGGACCCAACAGGAAAGAAAAGAATTATTGTTAACAATGTTTCTCAAACCCAATCCCACAAATGGTTTAGATATACCATCAACAATAGTAAGTTTCTAATGTTGGCTACTTTAATAGTTCTGGGAAATCCAGAAGCAGGAGGACTCTTGCCTCTGCATTCCAACAACTGGTGAAACCTAGAATAGGATGTTTCTACAGGAATTTTACAAAGGTTGAACAATACTATTGATACATCAAATGCTAGTATACTGTACCTGCCCTCCATGAATTTTCCTATGTAGTGATGTATTGAAAAAATTCTCACAAGTGAATGCAATTCTTGAAATGAATGCAGGTCTAAGCTACAGTTTTTGATTGGACAATGTGAGCCAACTATGAACTAGATCAATTTTTTTCAATCTGGAGTCTTTCACAATTCCTATCACTGTGTACCACACCATTAGGAGTGATGGGATTCGTAATCTGAAACATCTGAAGGTACACAATTGAGGGAAGTTGATTGCGATGAAACTATTTTGCAAAGGTATTGCTATAAGAATTACGGCCGGGGCTTTGACCTTTTTCTCAGGCCTTAATGCCCACTAAAATGGAATCATATAATATTCCCCCTCCACACAGACATGAATATATGTCCATGCATACTTTCATGCTGCTGCTCTCCAATGCAAGAAGACTGACAGGACACATGCAATCTAAGCATTAACCAAGCACAGGGTAACTCCTACTTTGCCAGTGGACTTGACTCCTTTCCAGATGCAGAAATAGCAGATGATCCAGGCCAGCATGAGGCAGAGAGCCAATTCCCAGCGCACAGTGCCCAGATTGTGAATACCTTCTGTTATTTTCAGCGTACGCCTCCTAAGAGGAGAGATGGAAGGATGGGAAAGTGAAGCATCTTTCTGCCAGCTCCTATTAACCCTTCATACCTGCTTCCTTGACAGCTCTTCCTCACTAAAAGCCTTTAATTTAACTTGACCATTGCAGAATAGACACAACAGTATCTGTTAGCCCTTCAAAGTCCTCAAGCCGTAAACCACAAACTGTTATTAACACTACTTTTACTGTAAGCTATAGAAACAGAATCTTGCACGTCTGAAAGCTCTTCTCCCTGTTTTACTTTCCAGAAAAGGGTTCCTTCTGAGATGTTCCCATGCCAACTTTCCTTGTGTGGGCTGAGGTACCTTACACATGATGATTGTCAAGGCTGCAGCTCTTCCTCCTGTCTCTCAAGGTAATTCTCACAGACCATCTTAGAAGAACAATGATGGTGCTAGTCAGACTTGCTACAGACTGTACTGTCTTTATTGGTGACAGAGTATTGAGAAAGAGAGAAAATGTGTTGATGATACTGATAAGCTTATAGATAGACAATGGCATGTATTTCCCACTTGCCTTCATAAAATTTAGGCACTTTCCCCAGAAATTAATCAATGATTAATGAGGTTAGAGCTGATCACATGTACATTCCTCTTCAAAGAGACAGTGGGGGTGGGGAAAAAACAGCATAATATTTATACAGTATAGTTTGGCACTATGATTCAACAGGGAAAACTGGTCAATTTTTGCAATTTTGCAATAAAAATTGCAAATGCAGAAAGCCCTAGTCCTATGAAGTATTTCATTTAGAGCCCACTACTATTATCACGTCACCATCAGGTTGCTTTCCTGTTTTCTGTTTGTTTACCTTCTCTTATTAATCTAAATATTTGGATTTTTCTCTCTGCTACTCTCAAAACAGCCTCTTGCCCAGCCATCACTGCAACTGCAATAATATCTGAGCTCAGGAGGAAACATAAGATAAAAATGTGACAAATAAATACATTAATAAAGTCTACCAATAATTTATATGCCTCACATTATTTTAGAGGTTTTTCTTCTGGGATGATGCTGTCCAGATGTTTAGGACAGTAAAGAAAGCTGGTAGGAACAGGGGGAAAACAACCATCAATTACAGATGATGTAGAGTACAGTGCTGCCATCTTGATATTTTTTAACCACCCCCTGCAGACACCCCTGGGATGGTGGATATGTTGTACATGTATACAATTCCTGCTTTTTCTGTAGGCCTCATTATTTCAAAAACCTGAGGATGTTTTCCCCACCTGCAACCTGCAATACTATGAATTTCCTTCTCCTTAAGCTTCAGCATGGCCAAATCTACACATATCCCCTCTAAATCCCAGGGAAAGGGTTTAGGGAAAGGAAATAAATAACCCAAACAATTAAAATACATACTCCCAAAACTCGATAACTGGAGAGGGGGCATTAGTATTATTTCCAGGATCAGAACCATTCAGAGAGTCCACACAGTACTCTGCCAAGAGAGAGAGAGAGAGAGAGATGTATGAATAAGAACAGATCTTAAAGGTCAAGTGATCCAACCCCATAATCAGTGCAAATCTACAATCTGTTTAGAACATCTATTCAGGACCCAAACTGTCTGGTTTGGTACAGCAACCAAACAGGACAAGTACAGACTCCAATGAACAGTTAAGTTTGCAGAAAGAACAATTGCAACCAACCTGCCTCCTACAGAAGATCAGTATATTGAGCGAGTCAGGAGGAGGGCTGAGAAAATATCTACAGACCCCTCACATTCTGGACATAAGCTGTTCCAACTTCTTCCCTCAGGATGGCGCTATAGGGGATTGTAGGCCAAAACAACTAGACATAAAACAGTTTTTTCCCTCTTGCCATCAGTCTGCTAGACACCTAATTCTCTCAGTGCTGCCTAATGTCTATTAACCCATATAGTGTGGCTGTAATATTACTGTTTATCCTTCTTATTATCTCCTTTACTCCCCCTTTTATTGGCCTTATTATTATTATTATTTTGTTGCTTTGCATGTACACTGAGTGCTTTTGTACTGGAGATAAATTCCTTGGGTCACACTTGGCCAAATAAAGTATTCAATTCAATTCAACTTTGCTGAGATACTTTTAGCAAAATAGATGTTTCTGCTCCAAGAAAACTGACTCTGAGAGAGAGCCTAAGGCTATATTAAAACATCCATCCTTCCTTTTATTGGATTCCTCTTGTCTGGTGCTCCTGAAGGACATGGCAGTTCCTCAAACATATATGAAATCCAGATGTCTCTGGAATGTAGATTGTTATCAAGTCATGCTGACTGTTGTAATTTAGGATTGCAGACCCAAACCCCTTCCTTCCTCTGCACATTTGCCTCTCTGTGTACATTCTGTCCCCCACACCCCTTTTCATGTATGCAGTTGCCCCAGACAGCTGTTTGTAAAAACATCTAGAGACAGAGTGCACTACCAAAGCATCTAAGAGGGTTAGATAAATAGAGGATGAGAGGATATTATGGAAAAAAGTGTGACTAATGTAGAGAAGAAAAAGCAGGAGAAAGGTCATGAAGTACAGAATGGGTAACTGTCGAATATTTTGTGTACTGTGCTTTAAGGGGTTTGGAAGTGTAAAGAGGAAGGACTGAGTAGCTAAAAGGGGAAAAGTTTACTTTGGGTGTCAATATGCTGTGTTGCAAGGAAGTTGCTTCTAATAAACAAGTTGTAGATCAATTTAGTCAGGCAAATACATGTTGTTACAGAACCAAATGTTACTATTTTTGTGAAAAAATAATATTGGTTTTATTTCTCTTGAATAGAAAATGATGCACCACATAAAAGAAATAGAATTGAAATTGGATCAACCGTTTCTATATTGCCAGAGTGCCTGTGCAGAAAATGTTGACAGTTTGGCACTTATTTTTTATTTTATTTGTTTATTACATTTTCATCCTACCTTTACTACTTTAAAGGTAACTCAAGGCAGCGAATATACATAATACTCCTTACTCCTACTATTTACTTCACAACAGCCACACTGTGAAGTGTGTTGGGCTGAAGGAGAGTTACAGCTTTCATGACTAGAACTCACAGCCCACTGATTTTTAGCCTGGTGCTTTAGGCACAAGATCAAACTGACTTCTCAAACCCGATGACTTGAAAAACTAAAATTCAGGTATGTTTACCTGTAAAGGTAACTTTTGGTTATGTAGTTCAGCAGAAGTTTGTATTGTCATAGGTAGGAGAGATTTGCTGCATAAGACCTGAGGAAATTGAATGGATGGGTTACACCACTACATCTAATCTACTTCCAGGTCCTTCTTCAGAGAATGTGGTTATTGACATTGTAGGACGCCTTGATGGGATTCCAGTGAGTTGCCATTGTGCTAAAATGTTGATTGAATATTATAAGTGGCCATAAGTAGCTTTGATATCACTCTTCAGCGGGAATTACTGAATGTTGTTCTGTTGCTTTTAGTAGGGAAGGTGATTCTAAAGTGTTAGTCTCTAATAATAGGAGGCAATTTACTTATGAAAATGTTTAGCAGAGAATAAAATTATACATCAATGTATTATTATCAAACAAATGAGAGACTAACACTTTTGAGAGATTCAACAGAATCTGAAAGATAGACTACTTAGAGCAAAGTTATAAGGAAAAAGTTAGGAATCCTTGATTATGGAATATTGGCAATTATATGCCATTGAATAACACAGAGAAGTATTGCATGGAAGTTCTGGCATCGAAAAGGCAAGATGGTGGAAGGGTCATGATGCAAGCCTTCTTTGCATCACCATCACCATCATCAACAACACACACACATACCAGTGGATGCCAATGCATGGGAGAGACCAGGTGAATATGGCTGGCTCAGAAGATCAAAGCCAGAAGCTGACTTAGGAAGGCAGATGAGGAAAAGAGTGGAGAAGACATAGAGAAATTGTAAAAGTATAGGCCAGTGTGGTGGCACTAAGAGTTAGAAATGTAAATGTGTTTGTGGTGTAAAAGATTTTAAAATATAGGTACTAGAGATAAAAGCGATATAGTAGTAGATCTATATCCCTTTGTAAATGTTTTAAAAGAAATGGTCTTCATATTTACAAACTGTTGGGTGTGGGTGGGGTAGAAAGTTCCCACTTTGCTATAAGATAGGGATGAGCACAGAGAAAAAAGGAACAGGCCTCCAATAGCACGACTGTGGCTACTATTTTGACTTTTGGCACATATCTCCTCATTTATTATTTAACTAATCCTTATTATTTAATTAAACAGAAAGGAGGTAGTGCACCGGCAACCTTTGACGGTGCTGTATGAGCCCCAGGTTGACTGACCAAATCACCTTCACAGGAGGTAAAGTTGAACAAAATCAGTGAGAAGTTGAAGCTGAAAGATGGCCAGTCCAAACAAGACATCTGCCAATTTGGACAAACCATTGTGTTATGTAAAAGCTGAATAATGCAATGTTATGAGGGAGAGAAATGTACCTTCTGCCTATAAGGAATTTAGGAGAGTAAGCCAGCAGGAAGACAGGAGTAGCCAAAAAGGAGGTTTGGCTGTCGATATACTACATTGTGAGGAAGCTGCACCTGATAAATATTGTGTCAGGTTTATTACTGCCTAGGGGACACAACAGAAACATGGAGGAATATATAATATTGCATACCATCCTGTAAATTTCTGTATCTGCTAGGACATAACCTAGTGGTGCCATCAATGGAGGACTTAGAAGTTTGGGATACTAGCTAAGGCAGGAGTGTCAAACTCACAATGTCACGTGACATGTCGTGACATATCGCGACTTTGCCATGGCCGGCAATGGGGTGGGTGCGGTTTTGCTATGATGCATCTGGTCCCTGGGCCGCCACTTTGAGCTAAAGGATTCCCAAAGACAGCAAGATGGAGTAATTACTTTTCAAAGGATGTGAAGTGTCTATTACTACCATCTCTGGGAAGGCAACCCCTCTGATACAACACTAAATCTGGGGTTTAAAATTATCTAATTGCATTGCTGTCTCCTAGAGGTGAATAGAGAAAAGATGCATAAAGAAAAGAACAGAGATAGGAGGCTGTGTCTTCAGTGGGACATAAACATCAACATCTGGTTGTAGGAAGTTATAGAAGGCAAGAGAATGGCCTTGAGAGACAGGAGGCGAAGGCAATGGTCAGATAAAAGAGGTCTGAGTCGAATGTAATGTGAATAAATGTCTCACAAAGATGAGATGGTGGAAATGCATTCAATCTTGTAAGATTCTATTAGTGTAGATTAACATTAAAATATTACAGATTTAGATGATATTGATTTAGTCTGATCTACCTTGAAGGGTGGACTGATGGAGGATGGAGAATAATATTCATATTCTATATTCCCTGCTCCCCAGAGAAAGGAGATAAAGTGAATATGCAAAGCAGAGTATACCAGACCACGAAAAATGTTCAGAGGTCAACCTGAATCATTATTGGGCCGTCTTGCTTTTCCAGGGCTTATCAATTTCCACAAAAATTAAACAAATAGAATTCTGCCTAAATAAAGATACAGCCTGATGTTGAGGAATACTGGGAGTCATAAAAGGGTCAAGCTTGAAGACCCCTGATGTAGCCTCTCTGCTTCCTATCCCAACAAAGCCAACACAAATCTGGTGGTTGCAATCCACCTATCATTTTGCAACTTTCCCTTATTGAGGAGTTACATCAGCCTCCCAACCTGAACCAGAAGTTCTACAATTTTAAAAAGTCTTTTTTTACATAAGGAATATATTTTCTAAGTGAAAGCATGCTAAGGTTGTTCAATTTCAGGAAGTTCACACCCCACATATGTAACACATTTACGGAGTCAGAGAAAGAAAACATAACATGCCATTGACCTAAAGCAGTGTTTCCCAAACTTGACAACTTTAACATAAGGAGACTTCAGCTCCTAGAATTTCCCAGCCTTGCCTACTGGAGAATTTTGGGGGTTGAAGTCCACACATCTTAAAGCTGCCAAAGTTCAGAATCCTTGACCTAAAGACATTAGTGCACATATTATGAGTCCATGCTGTCTTGTCACTCAAAGCCAATAATAGATTTACTGTTATTACTGTTGTTATTATTTGCTGCAGCCAGTTGCAGCCAAGGGTATTCATGCACCTACCTGAGTTCCAGTAATTATTGCAATTAGCCCAGGGTAAGACAGCTGAGAAGGAGTTAAAGAGATAAAATAGGGCCCAAGACAGAATGACAATGTAATAAATATTCAGGTAAGATTCAATCACTTGGGAAGCATATCCAATTCCTGAAAGAAGAGAAAAGACAGGTAAGAGTTAAATCAGGAAATGGGAACCGGGCAACTGGTTTTGATTCAATGAGTGTTGATTACAGCGTAGATGGAGTCCCGGTCATTCTTCATGATAGAACTGTGCAGAAGCTGTGTTTACATAAAGCATCAAGCCATGGATAACCAAAGTTTGATTTCTTCAGTCACCACTTTTCTATGTTCACATGTCACAATGAACCAACTATTAGCAATACTAGCTAGAGTTGCAATAATATGCTAGCTAAAATCTATAGCCCTTGGACAACATCCAAGAGACAGTAAGATCCTCCCCTCCAAGATCAGGGATAAGACATGAAGAAGGAAGAAGAGGAGAAATCTAATATTGTTTTTTACAGCCTGTTTGTTATGAATTTTTGGAGGCAAAACTCAGCACAGAAAGAACCATTTTTATTTAAAAAAATGGTTCAGTGTCCTTGATCTACATCTCAAACAAAATTGTTAGATTGAGCATTGTTGATGAAATATGTATTTATCATCACATGCAGTTTGGCCTTTAGATTGGTCATGCATCATAGCCCAAACATAGCTCATTTGGAATATAAACAATAGAAAGCCTGTGGGAGGATTTAACTCTTCTTTGCTGATGCTTCTGGATGCTAACAATATACATGAGACAAAATGAAATACTCTGGAGAAAAATAGATTACATAGGTCTATGCAATGTAAACTATAGGTACTTTCACACTGTTTCATTGTATTAAACCGCCTTAACTTTAGGTCTGAACTTTAGAGTACAGGGGTTAGGCACCTTGCACACTTATTCTTTGCCCCACCCTAATTTATTGGTTCCTCTTTTGATACCATTCCAAATGTTTAGGCTGGCCCAGCTTGGTTAAAAAAAATCTGCAATGATGCAGCGATGTTTCTATCAGAATGTTTTTCAATAACCATAGTCAGAAATACCATTTTCAGTTTGGCAGTTTAAATTTGGGGGGGATAACTGTCATAATCTGTGCTTTGTTTGCACCAACGTGCATCATATAAATAAAAGATTTTTTTAAACCCTACCAATATGCAATGGTGGCGCAGTGGTTAAAATGCAGTACTGCAGGCTACTTCTTCTGATTACCATCTGCCGGCAGTTCAATTCTCACTGGCTCAAGATTGACTCAGCCCTCCATCCTTAACATGACTGGTAAAATGAAGATCCTGATAGTTGGGGGAAATATGCTGATTCTGTAACTGCTTAGAGAGGGCTGAAGCACTGTGAAGTGCTATATAAAAGTCCAAGTGCTATTGCTATTTCAAAAAACTTGCTTTTCAGATTTCTCTTATAAAGTTGTTTGTAGAGCAAAGTATATAAGTTAGTGTACAATTCATAAAATTTGTTCATATTCTGACTTTCTTACAGTTGTGACCATTAGACAAATTTTACTGAGGATTATCTCTTTTGTATTTCTGCCAACCCGTCTCATTTTGCTGCGTGAGATAGACCCAATGAGCACCCTCCCACTCCATATCCAGGAGCGGATTGGGATTGGTCTTTAATCACATTCAGCACTGGTTGTAATCCTTCATCACATCTGGAAAACAGCAGAAGACTTAAGTTAGGGGTCTTCAAACTTGGCCCTTTTATGACTTGTGGACTTCAACTCCCAGAATTTCTCAGCTGAGGAATTCTGGGAGTTGAAGTCCACAAGTCATAAAAGGCCAAGTTTGAGGACCCCTGACTTAAGGAATGCTGAGCTGGCTGAGTAGCATAAAGAGGGGAATGGAAAAGGAACAGCTAAGAAGCTCTACCTGGTCCAGGAAGAGTAAGCTGGGGGACAGAGTGGAGGAGGAACCTGGTATGCAGCTGTGTGTCCTAGCAGTACAAATGGCTGGCTATATGATATGTGATGTATCATCAGTTACTACAACATCACCCAAAATGAGTAGATATCTGTAACTGTGCAATCCAGCTCTCTTGCACTTCTCTGTACACAAGAGTAAAACTACAATGGCCCTTGATCTCCAAACCGCTATTTATAACTTGGTTCAAAATGTCCTCCCGTATTAGAGCTGAAGACAAACAACTTGTGACTGTGGAATCCTGGAAGTTGAAGTCCACAAGTTTTAAAGTTGCCAGGTTTGGAGATTTCTGCTTTAGTATATTCAATGTTATTCCTATTTTCCTCAGTCCATCTTCTAAGCCAAGAAGAAGAAGAAGAAGAAGAAGAAGAAGAAGAAGAAGAAGAAGAAGAAGAAGAAGAAGAAGAAGAAGAAGAAGAAGAAGAAGAAGAAGAAGAAGAAGAAGAAGAAGAAGAAGAAGAAGAAGAAGAAGAGAAGAAGGAGAAGAAGAAGAAGAAGAAGAAGAAGGAGAAGAAGGAGAAGAAGTTGGAAGGGATCTCCGTTGGAAGGGACCTTGGAGATCATCTAATCCAACCCTCTGCTCAGGCAAGAAACCCTATACCATTTCAGACAAATGGCTGTCCAGTCTCTTCTTAAAAACTTCCAGTGCTGGAGCATTCACAGCACTGGAAGTTTTTAAGAAGAGACTGGACAGCTATTTATCTGTTTCATTGTTGGAAACTGTGGTCCAACACATCTGCAAAGTCCCATGCATGAAACTTAGGCTCATGAAAAATGATTAAAATTGACATTTTCCATTTGCAGATTGAAATTATGCAGAGTGGGTGAACAACCCACTAAAACAATTGACTGAGGCTGACCGAGACATTGATTTGCAAACTAACTACCATATTTCCCCCAAAATAAGACTGGGTCTTATATTAATTTTTGCTCCAAAAGACACATTAGGGCTTATTTTCAGGTGATGTCTTATTTTTTCATGTACAACAATCTACATTTATTCAAATAAATAATATCAATATTATTTATTTATATTTAATTATATATTAATATTATTTTATAATTCAATACGTCCATCATGTGTTGCAACGAATGTGTCCATCTAGCATCCAAAAAAAAAATTACAGGCATCCAGAAAAATCATGCTAGTTAGATCTTATTCTTGGGGAAATACGGTATATACTCTAGTGCAAGCCACTATGCTAAAATGTGTTAAGCTAGTCCATGATTTGAATGGAGCCAAGAGTCTTCTCTACTGGTCAGGGAGCAGACTCTAGTTCACTAGCTGGCCAGAAGGAGAAACTTCCTGTCAGTTAGAACAATTAACCAGTGGAACAACCTGCCTCCAGAAGTGGTGAATGCTCTAACACTGCAAGTTTTTAAGAAGAGACTGGACAGCCATTTGTCTGAAATGGTATAGGGTTTCCTGGCTGAGCAGGAGGTTGGACTAGATGACCTCCAAGGTCCCTTCCAACTTTATTATTATTAGATAATGTTAATTATCTAAGTCTAGCAACAGAGGATTAACCTCTACTCAGAAAGTTTTCAATATCCAGCTGCTTCTTGAAAGAGATGCCTTCACAAATCTATCCCAGTCCATAATTTACTTTGCTGCTACTTTCACCTAAATCCCATCACTGGACACATTTAAAAGTAACTACTGTCATATCTTTTTGTTTTGATTCCAGATTCCTTTTCCAAGTATCTGCCCTTTGCTTTATCCAGCATCCTGGACAGGTTCCAACTCTATGGTGTGCCTTGTCCCAGTCTCCCCAAATCTGGTTATTTCTTTAGCTCTCTCTTTGGTTACGCAACACTAATTCTACCTCCAATAGAGAATCTCCGGATGACTCACACTGTTATCTTTGAAGGTAGGATGAAACAGGTGCCCTGTCAGCATTTGGCCCTCAGCCCTGCCTTGCGACTGGGAAGCTCAGAGGGAATTAGATCAAAAGGTACACCAAGTACTTTATGGAAAGTTACCAGGATTTCTGATGTATCACCAATGTACCTTCAAAGATAGGGCAGATCTTTCTCCAAGCAGTGATTCCTCCTTGACTGGTATATTGTCCCAAGGCTGTCTCCAAGAAGAAAAGTGGAATTCCACAGATAAAGAGAAAGATGGCATATGGAATTAAGAAAGCTCCTGTTGGCAACAGAAAGGGAGAAAATGTTGTTGGAACAAATTTGATTGTTAAATGTGCTTTCAAGGAGAAGAAAAAAAATAACATCTCACATTAGGGTAATTATGCATATTTTCCACTAAAGTTTGGCAGCACTGTGAATTTCTTTCCCAAAAGGTACTTAAGAGCAGGTGGACTACAAATGTCCCAAAGGTGCTTTTCAAAAGGCAAGTTTCAAAAGGCAATTGCCTCTTTGAAAACACCTTTGGGACAACCATGACCTGGATGATTGAGACTCTCCATAGACATGTGGACTACAAATGTAGTTTTGCAGTTTCTTTGAAGCACACTGCATTTCCCCAAAATTACACAATGAGGAAATGTTCTGCAAAATTCTTTCCAAACCTTTTTTTTATTGCATCTGAAGCACTGCACACTCTTGTTTATTACCGTATTTTCCGGCGTATAAGATGATTTTCTAACCATGCAAATCGTCTCTGAAATCGGGGGTCGTTTTATACACCGAGTTGTCTTATACGCCGGAAAATACGGTAATTAAATCTATATACTGCCCATTGTTGCTGTTTGGAGCAACTCTAGGTGGCAAAACTGCTGCACAAATTCTTGTGTCAGACAAGAATAGGCAACACCCAAGGCATTCTAGATGTTGCTGACTTGCGAGTACTGTTCTTTCAAAGCAGGTCATGCTTCCTAAGGCTATTGGTAGTTATTGTTTATCAACTTCTGGAGTATCACTAAATCAGATCCTAATGAAAACCACTTGAGAAAGGTGCTTTTTCAGGAGGCAACTGGACTTTCTTCCCCATAGACACTTGAGAAAGAAGATAATGGTGAGAACCTAGAAAAAGTATGAAAAGTTAAATGCTTGGGGTTATGCAGATTGTAATCCCACCAGCTGAGGAAGGCTGTGTTATAGACTCAAGAAGACATTGATTTTTTTTAATAAGATTTTATTAATTTTTGACATTGAATTGTTACCACGTATGACTAACATATCTGGCCTGCAAAAAGCTAGAGCATTCTGTATTTCTTTGCTGCTGTTCAGTGGCATCTGGATTTTAGCCGCTCAGAAATGGTGGTCCTAATATTAAGAGTTCTCCTGATAGGGGAAATTCCAAAGATAGGGGAAATTCCAAAGCTGCAAGCATTTTAGCCAAAGTGCGATTCCCTGGGAAATCAGGCCAGATGAGTCTTAACCATGTCTTTGTGATGCATGTTTTATTTAGTTATAAACCACAAGCTAAACAAAAGTGGAAATCAGCCTCATTAATATCCTGGCAGATTATTTGAGATGATTGGAGATTTATTTATTTTATTTTATTTTATTATTTTATTTTATTTTATTATTTTATTTTATTATTTATTTATTTATTTATTTTCTCTAGCCGCCCAACTCAGCAAACGACTCTGAGCAGTTCACAATTCAAAAACATATATTGCAATTAAAATCTTAAAAACATTTCAAAGCAATAAAAAGAATAAAAACTTTTAAAATACCAAAAAACCCATTAAGACATCTAATCCGAGTATATGTAGTCCTCAACGTACGACCGCAACGGAGCCCAAAATTTCTGTTGTTAAGTGAGACATGTGTTAAGTGAATTTTGTCCCATTTTTTGACCTTTCTTGCCACAGTTGTTAAGTGAATCACTGCAGTTGATAAGTTACTAACACGGCTGTTAAGTGAAATTGGCTTCCCCATCGATTTTGCTTGTCAGAAAGTTCTAAAAGGGGATCACACTGTCTCTGGGACAGGACAACGGTCATCAGCATGAACCGGTTGCCAAGCATTGAGTTTTGATCATATGATCATGGGTTGTAAATGTGAAAAACGGTCATAAGTCACTTTTTTCAGGGCCATTGTAACTTTGAACAGTCACTAAATGAACTGTTGTAAGTTGAGGACTACCTGTACATACAAAGCAAGAGGAGGTAGGGCCCTTGGTGCATGGAGAACCCAGTGGTAGGATTCAAATACCTGAACATCAGGTTCTCTACGTCAGAGCTTTTCAACCTTTTCACCCATTGTACCACTTTTAAGATATGGCAACATCCGAGTACCACCAGTGTCAAAAACTTGATGACCAAAAAAAAAAAAAAAGAAAAAAGTGATAAAGAACAGGTAATCCTCGACTTACAACAGTTCGCTTAGTGACTGTTCGAAGTTACAATGGCACTGAAAAAAGTGCCCCCCCAAGCCACAGCCGAGCAAGACTTCCTTCTGTCTGAGGTTTTCATTGTTGTGAGCAGCAGGGGTGGGGTGTGGGGGTGTTTGATTTTTATTCCCCCCGTCTGCTAGGTGGTTGCAGCAGGTTTTTGTCACTTCACATGACTCTAGGACACTGAGACCATCATAAATATGAATCAGTTGCCAAGCATCTGAATGTAAATCATAAGACCCTGGAGATGCTGCAACATTCCAACTGATTGGTGCTTCTTCTGGGCTCAGCAGAAGCGCCAGGATCAGTGCTGAGCTCCAGCTGGATCCTGGTGCTGATCCTGGTGCTTCCAATGAGCCCTGACAGCCCCGAAGCGCCAATCACCTGGAAAGCGGCACTGATCCTGGCACTTCCGCTGAGCCCTGACAGCCCTGCAGCTCCAGCCATCTCTCGTTCAGGCTTGTGCAGTGCTGCCACCGGCTCAGCTCATTCCCCTCCCCCACTACCACTTTTCTAGGATGGTTGCATACCACCTGCCAGGTACCAATGTACCACAGATGGTACCCGTACCACTGGTTGAAAAGCCCTGCTCTACGTGGATGAAGGCCTGGGCCTCCGAGGCCTAGAATGGACTTCTGGAAGTGACATCCACGCACTTCTAGTAGGCCGTTCTAGGCCTGAGAAACCTCCTCCAGGCCTCTGAGGCCTAGAACAGACTTCCAGAAGCAGTATGGGTTCAGCTGGTTCTCCGAACTTATCAAAATTTAGCTACTGGTTCTACCGAACCGATGCGAACCAGCTGAACCCCACCACTGGTAGCATCCCAGGCAGGAGCTTAGCCGGGACTTTAAAGCTTTATGGAAGGAGATCAGGGCTGGAGGCCACTCTAATCTCTGACGGGAGGATGTTCCTCAGAGCAGAAGCTGAAAAAGCTCATTTGTTGATCTTCCTTATGGGGCCACCTTTTCCTTCATTAATACTGAAGGGTAAACTTCCCACCAGTTCAGGCCTAAGCCTAAGTATGGCTGCCTAAATCAAGTCAGTGTTTTGTGTTCTCACATACAGCACATTGTGTCACACTTCAAAAGAACATCATTGAACTGGTGCAGAAAAAGTTACCCCAAATAAGTGAAACAACTTCCTTCTGGTAAAAGACTACATGAGGACTTTTTAAATTTCAAAAACGTAGTGAACGGAGATAGTATAAATGTACAATACAGGCAGTCCTTGACTTACAACCACAATTGAGCCCAAAATTTCTGTTGCTAAGCGAAACATTTATTAAGTGAGTTTTGCCCCATTTTACAACCTTTCTTGCCACCATTGTTAAGTGTATCACTGCAGATGTTAAGTTAGTAACATGGTGGTTAAGGGAATCTGTCTTTCCCATTGAATCTTTGCTTGCCAGAAGGTCGCAAAAGAGGATCACATGACCCCGGGACACTGCAACCGTCATAAATATGAGTTAGTTACTAAATGTTCAAATTTTGATCATAAGACCATGGGGATGCTGCAATGGATATTAAGTGTGAAAACTGTCATAAGTCACTTTTTCAGTGCCATTGTAACTTTGAACAGTCACTACCTGAACTGTCACAAGTTGAAGACTACTTGTACCATGCAAGGTACATAGAATACAAATTAACTCAATGGATCTTTGGACTTGAGAATGCTGAAACAACCCTTTTCGTCTATGCCAAACTTTCTCTTTTCATTTGTTATCTTATCAGTACAACCTCTGTGCAAATTGCTTCTCAAGTCTATAAAAGTTGATTGAAAGTAGGATCATATAAGCCAAAGATGGCTCATCAGCAATGGCTTTTTAGTAGTCACTCATTGATTCAAGAATTTCCCATTCTCTTCCTTTATTGAAATATAAAAGCAGCACCATTAAAGTGGTGTTCTTTTTTTAAAAAATATTTCACAACTTGAGCCTGTGTTTTTGGCCAAGGCAGAGAACCGTTAATCAAAATCAGCAAGTTTATTTTCAGGATGTTTCATGATTCTAATCTCTCCATAGACTATGTGCAAATCCACATAGGTTAGGTGTAAAGATAAAAATGGGCCTTTTTCACACTTTAATTTGGTACTTTTCACTACTATTAAATCACTCAAGTGATTTGGAAAATCTGGAAAATAACTGGTTTAAGCTCTGATTAAGTATCAGGGCTACATGACTATCAGAACTGAATTAGCAAGGAAGGCAGTAATAAGTCCAGTTTCTGTTCTGAACGTTAAGATAAACTCTAAGAATGTGTGGACATGGTAAATTCATAAAAGAGAAGGAGGGAATGTGCAACACCACAATAGTGCTTAATTTACTAAATAATCTGAGACTCAAAGATGTGGGCCTTTAAACGAATAGGAACTTTGAATCCTCAGACTTTTCCAAGAGTTTTGGGGTATTTATGGAACTTGGAGTTTTGGAATGCAAGAATCTTCTCCCTTGGACCTTGCATTGTGCAAGCTATCCTAATTTGATCAAATGAATTCTCTCTGTGGCCAACCCATAAGATTATAAACCCCATCACTTTGAAAAACAGGGGAAAAAAGGAAACACACGCTTTGTTCTCCACACTGACCCATGTTTTCTGGACTGTTGCAATAATGCATCTGTTTGCAGTAGTCACATTCTGTTTCCTAGAAAAAACTGATTTTGTTTTCTATAGTTATTTGTCTAATCCTAGCAACAATAACTCTGACTGTGATGCATTCCCATTATGGACAATTAACTACAAGGCCTCAACAAGGAGCATTTCCCTCTGGCCTGAATGTAGCCATGTTAAAAACATTAGACCTCTGACATCCTCAATTATTTTCTCAGCACCAATTTAAATCCAGAAAACTGGAACTTGAGGCCAAAAATAAAGCTACCTTATTTTGAATCCATACCGTATCCAATGAAATACATGGAGTAATGCATCATCAGCTATATGTTATAAAAATGTGGGTCACTCTCAAACGTCAGTTTCAAGCACATCCAGTGTTCAATATTTAGTTAGCCTTTTGTCACCAGAACTTTGTCAAGTGCTTCTGATTAAGGATAGTATCTTCCCGGTTTCTCAAGCACGATATGTTGTCATTGGGGAAAAGTGATTTCCTGCCCCATCCTTGAGTCAACTATCTATACTGGACTGTAGCTACAGGTAGTCCTTGAGTTGCAAATGTAAGGGAGCCTGCCCATTCCATTTGTAACTCGAGAATTCGTGGGAGTGAATCTCGTACCTTAAGATTTCACCCACACATTTGCTAATTGAATGTGTGGGCGAATGCATGGTTTGTTAAGTGCACGAGGTGTCTCAGGATGGGAAAGGCCATGTGGGGCCTAGTGATGGAACACTCCCCTAAGATACCTCGTGCTTCCCCCTCTCTCTCTGCCATGCCAGACTCACCTTGCAAAAATACTCTCAGCCGTTGTTTCTCCTCTCTGCTGCTTTGAGGGAGAGGAGAGTCAATGGAAACTCCTGGGTGCCGTAATATCGCATGAGTTCAGGCACCCAGAATCCTCTTTTGCAGAGAATGGGTGTCTGAACTCTTGCAAGATCACGGACCCCAGAAACTTTGACTTTCAGGGCGGAAAGTTTTTGGATGCCTGTCTCCTGCTCCCACCCACCCCAACTCCTTTCCACCATCGCTGTTTGAGTGCCTATGGGGCACTTTGAAAAGGAGTGAAACAGAGCGTTTCAAAGTGCTCCATAGGTGTTCAAACACTTTTTAGCTGGACGGAGACCTTGGGGAGGTTGGAAGCTCCGTCTGGCTACAAATGGGGTGTTTTAAATGGAGCATTTCAAAGCATTCTATTTGCAGCCAAACAGAGCTTCTAGCCTCCCCAAGGTCTCCGTCCAGCTAAAAAGTGTTCTGGTGCTGGTGGAAAGGAGTTGGGGGGGGGAGAGAGAGCAGGAGACAGGCATCCCAAACACTTTTTGCTCCAAAAATCAAAGTTTCTGGGGTCCGTGATCTCGTGAGAGTTCACGCACCCATTCTCTGCAAAAGAAGATGGGTGCCTGAACTCGCGCGATTCTTCCACAAGTTAGATTGGACTGGGAGAGATGAGCTAGGGGTAAGTTCACCCTTACTCAGTGAAATTTCATGGCTTACATCTCCCGTATCTTTTCATTTCCTTAAATACTACACCAGTGCTGTTCATATAGACTCTTGCCAAGTACAGTAGATACTGTATGTAAAACTTCAGACAACAGCTGCTTCCATCTAATAGTCATAAATATAAATAGGAATATTTATGACCACTAGACAGACATGGTCATTATCCATTCTCATTCCATGTCCATTCTACTTCTTCCCTAGACCAAGGATTTTGGCACAATTTTAAAACAGAAAGTGTAACATATGGAAGGCTGTACAGATTTGTGATTTTCCTACTGATAGGGACAAATGTGTGGCTCATAACATATTGCACTGCCAGCACAAACAATCTGCAAATAATCTGTCCCGCCAAATATGATGATGAGATGACTCACAGGTTGGTCCATCACCCAATGGTTTTATTATGAGTTGTTCATTTTACATTGTAAACGTTTATAGCCAGTTTTATTTTTTAATCTCTATATTGCACATGATTTGCTAATTTGCAACTTCACATTTATTTCAGAGCTGTTGCATAATAAGCAATGGTCCAAGCAATTACATGACACTGAAAAATTATGAATATTGCATACTTACCACCTCCATTCTTGTAGCAGAGATAAGGAAATCGCCAAACGTTTCCCAGACCAATGATCTCTCCAGCCACAGACAGCACATACTCTACTTTGTTGGTCCACTGTCCTCGTTCTTCCAGCTCATCCTCCCCAGTCCTTGGTTTTGCCTTTGTCTCTGGCACAATTACAGCCCCATTGAGCTCTACATCCCAAGACTTTTTGTTCCCCATGGCCCTGGAAGTTTAGGAAAGAATGAGAAAGGAAGATCACATCTTGATATAAGATGCTGGCATCATACGATGCTTGTTCAGCATCCTGAGCAGGGCTCCTGGAGTGCTGAAAGTGACCAAAAAGAAAACCCATGGAAGTGAACAGGGATAATAATAATAATAATAATAATAATAATAATAATAATAATAATAATAATAATAGTAATAGGCTCCTTGGGTGCAATCCCAAAACAACTGGAGCACCACTTGAACACCATTGGCATTGACAAATTCGCTATTAGTCAATTGCAAAAGGCGGCCTTACTAGGAACTGCTTCCATCCTGCGACGATATCTGTAATACCATCAAACATCCACATCTGCCTATCCCAGGTCCTGGGTAAGGACTCGATAGGTAGACAAAATGCCAAATCCAGTCTGAACATCTGGCTGACTGTGTGATGATCCATAATAATAATAATAATCCCCCAGTGAGGCACTACCTTTATGTGGTTGTGGGGCTTGTGTACTCTGAGAAAGATGAAACCAGAGGTTCAACCATACTGGACAGGTCTCATCAGAGGAGTCAGACAAAGAGTGTCTCTCCCATAAAAAATATGGTGAGATGTAAATTTCAGAATGCCATACCGGCTCGGATGTCACCCGGGTTAACAAGGTCCGTGCTAAATATTGGAGTTCCTGGATATCTGGTGAAAAATGGGTTACAGGACTCAGGACTATTGGCTGAGCAACCAGGGCCAGCAGCTGCAGAACTACTGGAAGAAAAGGTGTTTACCCATCGCAGATACACAGTGATTGAAACCAAAGAAATAATGTTCTGTTACTACAGATCAAGTCCAACAAGGATATCTAAAACGAATGCACCAGTTCTGGAAAGAACAACATCCAGAATAGAGAAATAACAGAACAGAGAGTAGGAGATCAACGCAGATTTATAAAATAAATTTATAAAATAAAGTATTCACAGAAACAGAATTGGACGAACTGCAAAGGTTTACCCAGGGCAAAGAAATCAAAGCCTTACCAGAAGTAATTCAGAATGTAGAGGCAAACCAGGGGGAGTTGGCAGTGAAGGAATCCAGCAGAGATATACAACTGTTCTCATTTGGAAACCAGGCACCTCTTCCTCAGGAAGAACAAAACCCTCTAACTAAAGAAATAAAAGAATTGAAACAAAGAATAACTGAGCATCTAGAACAGCACAAAAACAACAGAATAAGGCTACCTGCATTGAAGCTTGTTCCAAAGAAACAGCTAGCACAAGCATTAAAAGATGCAAATACTGCAATATCAAGTATAAGCACCAATTCACTGCAAGAAACAAACCAACTAATGTACAGCACAGCTGCAGTTATAACTGAATACCTGGGATGCAAAATCAACAAAGAAGAAAAACAAACAAACAGTGCACCACAAAAATGGAAGGTTAGACTAGAAAATAAGATCAGCAAGTTAAGATCACATGCAAGCAAGCTAGAACAGATGAAAGAAAAGAAGCTGAAGAACAAGAAGACCAAAGAATACCTAATCAAGAAATACCACTTAGAAACAAGGAAGATCAAGGAAGCACTGGAAATAATAAAGCAACAAATAACAGCTATAGCCAGGAAAATCAGTAGATATGAAGCTCGAATTGCAAACTATAAGCAGAACCTCCAATTTCAATCCAATCAGAAACATTTCTACCAATCCAATGGAGAAACTGCAATGAATCAGTCAGTACCTGACAAGGAAGAAACAGTGCAGTTCTGGAAGCAGATATGGGATAACCCAAAGAAATACAACAAGGATGCGGCTTGGTTAAAAGAGGTGGATGCAAATAAAACAGAAGTTGAAATGAAAGAACTAGTAATAACAACAAAAATGGTAGAAAAAAGAGCAAAGAAAATAAAAAATTGGTCAGCACCAGGTGAAGATGAACTGCATGGGTTTTGGTTGAAACATCTAACTGTTATACACCCACTCATTGCCAAGCAGTTCAACAATATACTACAAGGAGGAGAAATTGAAAAGTGGCTAACAACTGGGAAAACCTACCTAATAATGAAAAATCCAGCAAAAGTGTTAACACCAGGCAACTACAGGCCAATTACCTGCTTACCAACAACTTTCAAATTACCGTATATGCCGGCGTATAAGACGACTTCCAGAAGCGCTAAACTCGGCGCCAAAGACAGAGGTCGTCTTATACGCTGAGTCGTCTTATACGCCGGAAATACTGGTAGTTTCCGGTGTATAAGACGACGTTCTAGGAAGGCGACTCGGCAATAAAGACGGGGGTCGTCTTATACACCGGGTCGCCTAATACACCGGCATATACGGTACTAACTGGTGTGGTAGCTGATGCAGTACAACAGCATCTAGTTGAAAACAATCTCTTTCCACCTGAACAGAAAGGAAACCACCCCAATAGCAGAGGAACAAAAGATCAACTCCTAATAGACAAAATGATCTTGGAAAACTGCAAGAAAAGGAAGACCAACCTGAATGTGGCATGGATTGACTACAAAAAGGCATTTGACTCTCTGCCACATGATTGGATAATCAAGTGCCTAGAAATAACAGGAGTCAGTAGAAACATCAGAAAATTTGTGCAAAGATCGATGGCACAATGGAAGACACAGTTGCAGATCAATGGTGAGAGGCTGGGAGAGGTTAATATCAAGAGAGGAATATTTCAAGGAGATTCATTATCACCATTCTGTTGAGTCCGTGGCGGGAAACAGACACGAGAAGCAGCTGGAGTTCTCAGTTTTCTTTTATTCAGCGTTCAGCTTACAGGAAGATGGCTTCAGCCTCGCCCAAACGCCTCGCAGCCTCTTATATAGGCAACTCCCGTGGTAAATGGTTACTTTTCCCGCGCCAGCACCCGCGCATGCGCACGGCGCTGGCGACAGCCTGTCTGGTCCTGGGCAGCTTTGCACCTGCCCGGGACTGCCTGCAAACGCCCGAGCCGTTTGCAAGGCTCGGGACATAACACCCCTTTCCCCCGTGCTAAAACTACTACCAACATACAATCATTTATTTTATATACGACAATTTGCTTCCCCAGTGCTCCCACTGATTACTGGCTTTTGCCTTGCCAGCAATGTTATGTAATCTTCTAGATACTTAGGAGATTTCTTTGCTCTCTGTGACCTTCTTAGCTCTGGGTTACTGGCATAAGTTCCCTGACTGGAGGGAGGCATGAGCCTGTTCTCTCTACTGTGCCCTGGTGTCTTCCAAGGACTGTGCCCGATGCCTGGCCTGCTTGCTTGCCCACCGGGCTCGTCAGGCCAGGGCTTCTGTTGCTTTGTGACCTGGTTGTCCTACCTAGCTGTAGACCCTCAGGCCCCTTGAAGTGATAGCCACTGCTGGGCGTCTCTGTAGAACCCCCTAGGTCAGTCCAAGAACTGTCAGGAGGCTGTCTATTCCCTGAACCCCATTCTGTGTTTGGGCTCGTGTGGGTTTCTGTACTCTCCCAAAACTCAGGTGTTCCCTGATTTGTGCTAGGGGTGTTGTAGTCGGGACTCGGTTCCTCGACTAGCTCTGTGTATGATTGACCCCCTGTAGGATTTGGGTTAAGGTCAGGCCAACCTTGGGAATTGTGTGCCAGCTCTCTTGCGGGGAATGATTTGTTGGGATGCCCCCGGGTATCCTCCGTTACTGGAGTGCTGTGTGATGTGTGTGGAAAGTGAGTATGCCCTCGGGGTGACTCCCTGGCTGGAGTAGGCGTGAGTGCCTGTTGTGTGGGTAAGCTCCATGACTTCCTTTTCGGAGCAATTGCGGAATCTTGGGATGGGCCGTTTGTGGCTCCCTCAGTGGAGATGGGCAGTCTCTCTGCCTTCCTTTGCTCCAAAGGGTACCCGCTCCCCCCCTGGAAAAATACCCAGTAGTCTCATCAGAAAAAGTCCCGCCTAGAGCGGAAGTTGGTCGTGTGCCGACGCAGGACACGACCGTTGTCCAGGGCTACCTCGTAGGAGAGAGGACCTGTGACCCTGGAAACAGAAGCAGGGTCCCATGTATGACCAGGCCTGTAATTGCGAGCCCAAACCGGGGCACCCACAAGTAGTTGTCTATGTGCCCTAGGATGTGAGGTAGATGAAGGCAGTCTGTCCGGATGCAACCGGTCAAGCTTCGTAGTAAGTTTGCGCCCCCAGCGAAGTTCAGCTGGGCTTCTCCCTGTAGAAGTGAACGGTGTGGTGCGGTAAGAAAGGAGAAAGTCAGCCAACCTGTGATGCCAGTCCCCGGAGGTGAGTCTCTTCAAGGCGTCCTTTGCGATGCGCACCATGCGTTCAGCCATACCGTTGGTGGACGGTTGAAAAGGCGCAGACGTGGCATGACGAATCAGGTTTGCCTGTAAGAAAGCTTGGAATTCGGAGGAGGTGAATTGAGGGCCGTTGTCGGACACAATGACATCTGGCAGCCCGTGTGCAGCAAAAATCCCCCTCAGTACCTGAATATTCTTTGCAGTGGTGGTGGATGAGACAGGCACAACCTCAAGCCATTTTGAATGGCTGTCAACAAGGACCAAGAAGAACTGGCCCTGAAAGGGCCCAGCGTAGTCAATGTGCACCCTAGACCATGGGGACTGTGTTTCCTCCCATCTATGCACAGGAGCTTGGGGCATCTCTGGGCAGATCGTTGGGCACAGTGGGGCATGCGTGTACCGTTTCGCCTCATACCCTTTATCTAAACCAGGCCACACAAGTGCTTTCCAGTGCAAGAGCTTCATACGAACAATGCCAGATACCCTCCGTGAGGGATTCTAGCCCTAGTCCTCATTTTGAGGTGGGAATGACAACGTCTGTTTCCCCAAAGCAGAACAACCCTGAAAAGGGACAGTTCGTTTCCTTTTGGACAGAAACTCTGAACTCAGGACTAGGGCAGTAGCTCAGGCCACCCCTGACAGGCACACCATGAGCGAACACATGAAAGTGGTGTGATCTGTACCCGTTTCAGCGGTAACATCCCTGGCACTAAGCGGGAGCTCGGGCAAGGCTTGGATTGATAGAATGTTGACAGCTGGCGCGGGGTCAGCTTCTACTACTGGCAGAGGCAACCTACTGAGGCCATCAGCATGGCCCATTTCTTTCCCATGCTTGTGGAGTAATGAAAAATCATATGCAGACAAGAAAATAGACCACCTAAGCATTCTAGGGGAAATGAGGTGGGGAGTCTGCTTACGTGTGGTAAACAGTCCCAGCAGAGGCTTATGGTCAGTGAAGACCGTGAAATGCCTGCCATATAGAAAATCGTGGAATTTTTTAATTCCAGCAACAACAGCCAGAGCCTCCCTGTCTATCTGAGCGTAGTTGCACTCAGCAGAAGACAATGTTCTGGAGTAATATGCAACAGGAACCTGAGTTTCCATCAGACCTGAGTGAACTCAGGACAGCGTCCAACCAGCCTGGTTGGACGAATCACAGCGAATGCACACAGAAGAGACTCGTGAAATGTGCAAGAACACTGTTAGAAGTGAGCAAGGCCTTGACTTCTTTAAAGCAAGCCTCATGTGCTTGTGACCACAGCCACACAGCTTGTTTGTCTAGTAGCCTGTGAAGAGGCTCATCTACACTAGCTTTATGTGGAAGAAAAGAATTGTAGAAATTCAGGAGGCCTAAGAAGGCCTGAAGTTCGGCCTTAGACTTTGGCCTGGGTGCTTCTAAAATAGCAGTTAGTTTGGATTCAGCAGTATGAATCCCAGCAGCATCAATTTTGAATCCCAGAAATTCAGTAGAAGTCACACCAATCTTGCATTTGTCTTTTCTGAGCTTGAGGCCTGATTTCTGAATCTTAACAGGACAGCCCCAAGCCTTCAGCTAAATGTGTGTGGAGTCTCCTGCAATCACTACATCGTCAAAGGTAGGGCAAGACCCCTGGTAATACGTCTAGTTGTGTTTTCCCTTCCGCTTTGGAAATCCAGAGCGACATTCACCCCAAACTGTAGCCCTTTTTACCTAAGGCTCCCCTGTGGGTCACATTGGTCTGAGCTATACAGCTCAGCACAACAGGCAGCTGTTGATATGCTTGAGCTAGGTCAAGCTTTGCAAAAACACGCCCCCCCTTGAGAGAGGCCAGG